TTGCCAGCCGCCAGCAGCATTCGAATTATTTTTCCTTGGGGAGTGCGAAAATTTTACATTCACATGCTATCCTGAAAACAGACACAAGTCAACGTACAAAGGGACATCAAAATTTGTGCCCTTTCGGCAGGCAGCGAAATAAAAAGTAAACTCTTTGAAATGGCTTTGTGTTCCCGAAAACGGATTCGCTGTAATTTCCCAAAGTGCTTTTTAGATTGCATAAAATTATCCTTAGTTAAAGGGATTTAAAATATACACTCTTAAGCACATTAGCAATGCATAAGAATTATATTTGAAGAGTTTTCCTTATTCATTAAATAAATAAATTATTATTGAATATGCATTGATACTTTATCAACAAAATATATATTTAGTATTTGAAAAAAACAATAAATGAAAAAAAATTGAATGGTTTTTGCTTAAATATTATTTATTCCTATTATATATATTCAATATCAGTATTTAGGAGCTAATTTACAACAAATTTGAGCGAAATTGTTTTCTGAAACGCAGCAATAGAATCGGTTTTTCTACCCATTATTCTTAAAGGGTGCATGCACCGCAAGGAGCCCTGCATATTGTCATGTGTTTATTACAAAGCAAAGTGTAAAACTAAAATGTAAACCCAGCGGCAACATAATATCCATTATCTTGCAGCAAGGGACCGAGAACCAGGGACCAGGGACCAGGGACTAGGGTCCAGACGCTGCTGCGACAATTTCGCCCGAGAGCGTGTGAAAAAAATCAACATCAGCACCAAAACAAAAACAACTCAAAAACTTCTCGGTATGAATTTAATTTTGTGGCTTAAACTTGTTGGCGTTTCTTTTTTTGTTGTATACCCTATGAAAAGAAATTTGTAAAATAAATGCGAAAAGGTGGGTGCGAGCACCAGGCAATGGCAGACAACGTCGATTCTAAGCGGTTTATATAACCGTATCTGTGTAATCTATAAGCCTGTTATACTACTTTTACTAATTATCTCTCGATGAAATATAGCTCATTGTAATATTGTCACAAAATGGTGGTGTAAGTTCTTGAATATTGGATCAAGTATATTTTTTTATTTTCATAGCTAAGTCTTCGCTTAAGATTTTGTAAGGATGAATATATATTTGCAATAGCCTAGTACAAATGTGCATGGTAATATCTGAATCTTGATTACAGGATGTCTTTCAGTAGAGTCCATTTGCTCACAGCTTTTGCTTTTTTTTTTGCAAAATTTTCGTTGCCGCAATATGTTTAATCAGCAGAGTAAACCAGAAAGCTGACCAGGCTTACCAGCGCCACCCTCCCAAAAAAGGACAAACACTTTGCGCCCTTGTGCTCTTGGTTGGTCCTGCGTCTGTCTGCTCCTCTTGCGCTGCGGCAAATAAAAGTTGTCCACTTTTTATACATACAGAGACACGATATACGATGGTATATGGTATATGGTATATATGGTTGTATATTTAATTTTAGTGCAACATAAAGTTCGCAAAGTCAATGACCAGTTAAGTCAACACATGAACCTGGCCGACTGGCCCACCGAGCGGACTGTCGAGTGGTTGGGATTATCAACATTGCGAGTTATTTGAATTTGCACATCGCTTACAGTTTAATATAATATTTTTAAAAAGGTGCATAAAATCCTGACCTGCTCGACCAAATGAAAGCAAGCAAAAACATATTATTAAAATATCCACATATATTTTTTTATGGCTCTGGCATAAGCATAACTTGCATAATATTGAAATGTGTGTGTCAACGTTGCCTGAGGCAAGTGGCACCATCGACACAGTGCGTGAGTGAGCAATCCAAGCACATCGTTGAGCTGCGTAACATTTTACACACGACTGTTGGCAAAATAGCAGAATTCATAAAATATTTGTACACCCGAACCGTATAAGAATTCTATAGGGTATATGCTAAATTATGCGATTTATTTGTTTTGAGAAAACTTTTTACATAATTGGAATAAATGTCATTTTAATGCCTCTTATTTAAGTTAGATGTGACCATTTTGAAAGCATACTTTGAGGCATCGTCTTAAATTGTCTGTATTAAAATACCATCAGTGGGAGAATCTGTCACAGAAAATTAAGTAAGATTTGTGAACTGTATTTATTAAAATATATTTTTGTCTTAACTTTATTAAATTGTTTGTGTGGTTTGCCAATGTGTATTATATTTAAAAAAGAATGCATCCATTCATCTTCGTTTATTCACCGAGCTTATTCATTTTTTGAGCTGTGAAAGCTGTTAAATGCTCTTTATCACACACGTTGATTAAAATGCACAGCCCCCTACATTATTTGGAATACAGATTGCTAGAGCATAACTAATTTTAGTGTATTTCGTGCCTGAGCTATCTTAGTGTTATATTCAAGTAGAGCGGATATTTCTTAGTCACGTATTCAAAGCATTATTTTTTATGTGTTCACACATTTGGTGGAAAGGAAGTGTTTCGGATAGAAGAGGATGTCTTTATGTATTGGGTTGTTGTAGGTGCAACAGTAGCAACAACAGGAACAGCAACAGCAACAGCAGCTGCTACTGCTACTGCTGATGCTATTTCTTCAGCCCATCTTAAATTTTATGCTGCCACAGGTAGTAGCTGTGGCAGATAGTTAAGTTTGCTGGTTGTTGCTTCGCTTTTAAGCTGGCTGACTGGCTGGCTGGCTGGCTGACTGGCTGGCTGGAGTTGAACACACGCTTCCTCCCACCAGGATGCTTAACGTGGGCGCCCGGGTACAATGCGTTTTGATTGATGTTGCCTGTTTTCTGTATGCTTCCGGTTTTCCATCTCGCTTGCTTACAATCAATTTAAATGTGCCGTTGTGCATTGTAAAAAAGTTTCTTGTGTCGGCTAAATCGTTATGTGAAACCATAAAACTGGAATAGTGGGGCACAGGATGAAGCATTCGCTATGTGTGTTGGCATTTCGGTTGCACTGCCCTGTCTGTTGCAAAATAATGCACACTTTTTTTTTATAGCTATACAAACCGAATCATTTATCATCTTTAAAATTGCTACAAGGGAAACTCAGCTTATCGGTACATCACAGTAGATACTGTGCAAGACTTTGTCATTCCATAAATAACAACATCACTAATCGATCATGTTTTGAGACAACCGAAAAAAAAGCAAATGAAAATTACCAAAGCGTCAATGAAGCCGTCTGAAATTACAATTTAAATTTTCATTTGTATATGTGCCCCGTAAATGAATGCAATCTACACTTCAAAAAATATGTGTAGGTAAACGATTGTGGATTACTTCAATAATAGCGAATCAATTGATTTACGTGAATAGAATATTTTATTATCAAAATCATTGCTTTATTGAAATCAGTAGAAACTAGTAAAAATAAAATAGTTTAAATAACGAAATTACGAATATTTCGACAATGTGAATGGAGAGTTGTACAAAATTTGTATTTTCTTCATTGGGATATTTTTTGTGTGATTAAGGCATTGACTTGTGACCTACATTCATTCATAGTTAAAATCCAATATTTTTTGTCCAGTTAAATTTCTATAAATGCGCACAAAAACTTTAGCAACAAAAGTGCCAAACTGTCTACAACAATCAGTTGGTCAATTTCTCAAAGTCAGAACTCGGTCGAATAATGGCTTAATCCTCCTTCCTGCACATTGTGGCGCTTCACTTGTCATTTGGCAAACTTGTTTGTTGGCCCCGCAGTTTTAATTCGGTTAACTATTTGCAAATATTCTAATTGAAGTCATTTTGGGAATTCGCTTTTCGGCTTACTCCATTTATCAGCTACTGTCTGGGCTGTCAGGAAGGCAGCTACAGGCTATAATCCAGTTTTCTCATCTAATTCCCAAGCGGTTATTGCACATATTGAATAATGTCCTTCACTTGACAGTTATCTTATTTTAGCCAAGTTAGCTAAGCGACGCACCCGACGTACACGACTTCAAACAGCTCTCTGTGTGCGCTCGTGATTACCGATAAGTGATGATTGATACCTTGTTCAACATAGATGAATGAGTATTGTTTGCCAAGCGAGTGAACTTCCCATTATTTGTATAATTTAACACCAGGTTATTATTAACACTGGTACTTACGCTCAGAATTAGTCAGCATTAATCAGTAGATAAAGATGTAGAGCCCCAATAAGCGACTTATCATGCTTGTATTCCATAGTAGTCTCGCTCATGCTTGCCTTATGATTGAGCATAAAATACGCAAGATGAGAGGAGGAAATACACATAAATACTTGAATTTCATAAACGAAGCTTTGTCAAACGAAGCTTCAAAATAAATTTGTTGCAACATTTCCATTCAAATATAATTATTGAATATATAAAATTCTACTTGAAAATCAAATTTAATTGCCTTTGAAAATTCATAAAAGCGTAAAAGTGTACTTAAATCCGAAAGCCACTAACCGAACGCATTTAAGCCATCTAATGCAGTGGCTTTCAAATTGTAACCACGTTATTGAAACATGCCTCTTTTCAAGTTGCGCATTGTTCATTGCTCGCAGCCAAATGGTGAATTCTCGCAATTAAACAGCAAATTAAATTATGCATTTCATGGCTGTGTTTGAGTGTCTGTGTGTGTGTGTGAGTGTGTGTGTGTGAGTGTGTGTGAAGTGTGCGTGTGTTGAGCGTGTGTAGAACTGTGTGTTTGCTTGTTTAGTTGCATATTTATGTCGCCTGGGTTGTCAGTGCGTGTGTGTGTGTGGTAAACAAATTGATTTTGCTTTTGATTTATTCATTTATTGGTGCAATATGTACACGTTCCCAATTCTTGCAGTGCCAAAAACACACACACCGAGAGAAAGAAAGAAGCGAAAAAATAAATAAAAACGACATATTGTTGACTCCGCTGATGTGGACCCAAATGTCGGAGATGGTCGTTACTGGTTTTAGTTGGATGGCGCTGGCCTAGAAACCTCAACAAGGCTGCTGAATCATGTGCTGTATGCATTGAACTGGACACATACATACACACACACACACACTCACACACACACACTCACACATACACTCACATAAAAACACACACACACACCACACACAAACACAAAACTTTAGAGTACAGATCCTTTCTATTGTACAATGGTCATCCAGTGCACATGCGATTGCGATTGCAGTGATAGAGACACCCGCAGCTCCTGTTTGCCACGCCTCGTGCAGCGACAACGTGTCACGCCCCTTGCTGCGGGCAATGATATGGAGCATCGTTTACATACCAGCTATTTTCATCGCCGGCTATCGAATACCTCATCAGTGCTCTACGGCAGCTGTCCACAGCTGCTGCCAGTCGAGCAACCCAGCCACAATCACAACCAAAGTCGGGCTGTGCAACAAAAGGAGCTGCAGCAACAGCTGGAGGAGCAGCAGCAGGAGCTGAGACCATATTCAAGTCTTGTGCGGACCAAGCACAGAAGCTCCGTGCTGTGCAACAAATGCGCACTGTGACGAAGATACAACTTAAGCTGTGAGCATCCAGAGCCACAACAACCACAACAACTATCCCAAAACAATCCAACAGCGGTAGTAGCAGCAGCAGCAACATCAGCAACATCAACAACAGCAGCTGCTGCAACAGCATTATCAGCAGCTAGTCCGAAGGCAAGACAGAAGGAGCAGGAGGAGGAGGCGAAGGCTGTAACTGCCACATTCAGTACGCCGCGTTATTTGTGTCCCGATTGCCGTTTTAACAATCAGCCGTTGGCCTGGTGGGTCTCATGTCCGCGTCTCTCCAATCTACACAGTGAACGGCCACAAATGACAACAGCAGCAGCAGCAATGCAGCAGCCACCAACAGCGCGTCACTGTCATGCCACAAATCCGTCGCGATTTCCACTGCAACTCAATGCCAAGCGGCATTGTGACAATTTTGGCAGCTATACAACATTGCCCAGCATTGAGCATCAGCAGCAGCAGCAGCTCCATCATTCGCAGATCATCAGCGCTGGCTGCAGTCGACATTGTGGGGCAGCAGCAGCGGCAGCAGCAGCCACCGCACATCCTGAGCCACCATTGCCACCAGCAGCTGCCTCTTCTCGTTGGTATGGCCCAAGCAATGCCAATCCCAATTTGAATGCCTGTTGTTACATGTACAATCCCACGCCCCCCCAATACGCCCCACAGCTCTGCGCTTGCGATGGTTGGTATCAGCAGCAACAGCAGCAGCAGCATAATCACCACCCACACCAACACCATCAGCAGCAGCAGCACCATCACCAGCAGCAATTAAGGAGCATCCAGCCACCGCCCAAACCACTTATGCCAAATGGCGGCTGCTACTTGGGTGAGTAATGAGCCCTTTTCGGTGACATGCATCCTGTTTTCCATTTAATCAACTTTCAATTGTTTGGCACCGCAGGCTTCGATGCCCATCATCCCTCTCACATCACCGACGAGGAGGACTCCGCCTTTCCCGCACTAGCCGATCGTGAGTTTCATTTGTTGCATCGCAATATTCCGGCACTGCGTCGCACAGGTGTCGACACAACGCGTATACGACAGGTGAGCTGTTCAGTGTACTTACAACTGTAACTACTTGTGTCACTGCCTATTCAAACTGTAACTGTTGTCTGTCGGCTTACCCTTCAGTACTTTTATCCGGATGGCGGCTGGGGCTGGATCATTTGTGGCGTGTCCTTTCTGGTTCACATTCTAACCACTGGCCTTCAGTTGAGCTACGGCCTGTTGTTGTTTTATGCTGTTCAGCATTTGCATAACACAAGTGGCATAGGTAAGTGATTTTTTGTGTCCAAAACTGTTAGAGATAAAAGTTGAAAATTTGCTACATTTGCATAGTTAGAAAATTATCTAATATCCATAAAAGCAATTATTATTCATTTAAGAAAATCAACTTTGAAATATTATATGGCTGTGAAATACGTGGTTCTCGATTTAATTAAGCAAATTAAAGATGTTTTTGAACCCGCTTAGAAATACATTTTTATACGTGTTTTACAGCTCTTTGTGAATTTCGTTTAAGTTCTGTGCTCACGTAGAAAATGAACTTTTTGATGCATATACATGTTGACAATGAACTACTCAATTTATAGAAACAATTGTTGTTGGCAACGTTTGTGTACCACAAGCAAAATTAGTTTTGACAAACTTACTGGAGTTTGAAGCCTTTCAAGTGTATTTTAAGCGACTTGAGCTTGTGCCAAAAATATAGAGAGAAAATTCCAAAGAAGTAACTTAATCCATACAACATATATAAAATAATGTGGTAGACAAATGCTAAAATAACCTTGGGATTAACGAAGCTTTGATAAAGTTATAAAAGGTTGAAGTATTGGAGGAGAGTTTTTAGAGATTTCAGAGTAATTAGTTTTGAAGTATATTCAAGAGCAATTAAAATGCACGCATTTTTTCAGTTGCTTTTTAATTTCAAATAGTCTTTTTCGGACTCGTATCTAAAATATGACTTAAATTAAAAAAAAATTCTTTTTGAGATATTCTTAATATGTTGTTGCTATTTCAGATATTTAATATACTTCACTTAACGTAAAATATAATGAATTCTTTTGTAGAGCTTCTGGGCGCACTAAGCTGGTCCATCTCGATGCTGGCCATACCGTTTGTGGTTTCGTTGTGCCGTAAGCGTTCCATACGGCTGCTTTCGATTGTGGGTGGCTTGGTCATGCCGTTGGGCATTCTGTTCACTTCATTTGCCACGGAATTCGGACAGGTTGTTTTCAGTTATGGTGCGTATATATAAGGCTGAAGACTTATGAGCTCAAGCAGACAGCGGAAGTTGCTTACCATTTTCATTTGCTATGTCCTGTCTTCGAAACTCTCTTCTCGCAGGCATCGTGTTTGGCATTGGGGTTTCCATGGTGCGTGAAGCATCCACCGTGATGCTGGGCAATTACTTTAAGCGTCGACGGCAATTCGTTGAAATGGTGGCCATGTCCGGCGAGGGCGTTGGCATTGCTTTGTTCTCCGTCATCCTTAAAGAGGGCGTAGGCAAGGCCGGCTGGCGCCTGGGTCTGCAAATCGTTGCCGCACTAACGGCGCTCAGCTTTTTCATGGGTCTCATGTATCGACCAGCATCCCTATATCATCCGCAGCGTCGTGCCATACAGCACTTGAAAAATCAGCGCAAAAAAGTTAGTGAGAATCATTGAAATTTGAACTCGATTTGAAATCGTAAATTGAATTTTTTATTTTCATTCGCTGTTCCTTCAGCTACGCGAAAAGAAGCCAAAGCTGACGCATGAAGTGGAATCGCCAACGAGATATTTATTTTTGGACATATCATCGCTAAAATCAGTAACAGTTAAAATTCTATTGATGACCTCCAGCGTGGCGGCATTCGGCATTTATACGCCCATGTTCCTTATGGTGTGTTGAATCTGATTTAATCCGATGAGCTCATCTACTTAGCTATGATATGCGATTCATTTTAGGCCCTCAATGCTGCCAAGGAGGGTTCCGATGTGCAGGAGCTGGTGCTGCTTCAAACATTTCTGGGCATCTCCATGGCTTTGGGCGTGGTCCTTGCCGGAGCTCTGCTGCGTCGCTGCTTTGTGATTCGACATTTTGTGATCAATTCCAAAATTGTTGCTCAGGTAAGTCCCAACTATTTTAAGTATAATTCTGCGCCAACCTTCTAAATGCAACTAAGATAAAAGTAGACATTCATTCGATCGGCAACAAAACAAAATAAAAGCTTTGCATACAAAATTAATTAAAAAGTTAAAAGATTTGTTAAATTGTGCAGAATATAAAAAGTTATAGGTAAAAGAATCAGGTTGAGCTAGATGGGTGCACATTAACCCCTCAGATTACACTCTATGCCGGATTTGTTTTTTATTTGCAGCTCTTTTTATCGACTTGCCAGATAGTTGCACATTTGCCCTTAAGATAACGCATTATCCCGGTTTTTCTTTTTATTTGCAGCTATTTATATCGATTGTTGCGCTGGCCATTTTATTCCTATCCTTTGTCATGGGCTACAAGGGCCTCTGTATACTCAGCTGGCTCTACGGCATTGGCCTGGGTGGCTTTCAGTACTCACTGAAGATTTTGGCACTGGAACGCATTAAGCTGAAGCATTTCTCCAAGGCTTGGGGTATGAGTGATAGTCCTAAATCTGGCTGGATCTAACATTTATCGCTTTCAGGCTTTATACGCGGCGTGGAGTCGGTGCCTGTGCTCATTAGCGTGCCCCTCACCTCGTTTCTCAATGATTACTCTTTGAAATATGGGCGTGCTGGCTATTATATTTGCTCAGCTGCCGCAGCCATCTCGGGCATAATCATCTTCTTCATCAGCGAACCCCAGGAGCAACACCAGCAGCAGCAGCAGCAACAGCAGCAGCGCGGACATCTCAATGGTCATCTACCCACACCAATGTTGATGAGACACTCCTCGGTGCGCCATAATCGTCCTAATCTGCATATGGACTATGGCTATGGCGAGTATCCTGCACCAGATTTGCTAAGTCGCAGCTGCATTAGTCTCAATCAAATGGAGCCCTATCTGCAGGCCAACAATTCCCATTACTGCCAACGTCACATGCATCAGCAGCCACTCCATCTGCCACAACATCATCACTTGACTGCTCAGCACAATCATGCTCATCCCACCCAAGCCCATGCCCATCCCCAACAGCTGACCTGTCACAATCTTGACTTGCAGCAGGGACGCTCCCCCTACCAGCTTGGCCAGGGCAGCATTGGCGCCAAAATGGGCAAGCGACTGCAGCGCAGCCTTTCCTTTATCCAGCAGCACAATTGCTGCGATGGCCAAATGTACTGCAGCTGGCATAGCACCTACGAACTCGGCTGCCGCAAATCGCCCAAGTAAGTATTATAATGTTTAATATCGGACATCAGCACTTTCGAAATAGGTTAGCCTTGGAAAAATCAGCTTACTGAATTTAATGTAAACTATTCTCAAATATGAAATACTTAGATACAAAACAATAATATTATTCTTAACAAAACTAAAGACTATAATAGAAAACGTATATTCAGTAATTACATTGCTGCTACTTTCCACATTGTTTGTGTGTAAACAATACCTAAAAATATGTAATTATTTTCAATGAACAAAAGGCTTGAGTAGAATAATCCTTAAGGGCATCATTAATTTGTATGCACATGCAATTGAGGTTGTTGCATGTCTTCTGCATGATTTGACTTGCAGGATATTTGATATTTTATGCGGCGAAACTTACTTCAAACAACGAATCTTGGGCTTTTGTTTCAAGCCAAGTCAAGCCATAGAAAACCAAATTGCTGTGTTGTCTGGCTTCTTGTCGGCGACAACAAATCAACAACACTGCACTTGCACTTATGTTATTTGCGAGTAGAAGGAGCTCTTAAATTTCCCCCCCTTCTGGCTTACGTGTCACGTGCCACGTGTTTATTTGCAGATCTCAAGACCGGCAGCCACTCATATGTACTTGCAGTCCCAATTCGACAACGTATGGCGGAGGTGGAGGTGGAGGCAGTTCAGCACGCAGTCGCAGCGTGCCTGAGGGCCTATCCACAATGTCGCAGCAGTGTAACTGCCGTCATGGGGCAGGCGTGCCAGCAGTGGCCCCCTCCCGTGAGTTCATCTACGTGCCGCACGCCTACGCCTCGCTGCAGAGGACGCCACATCGACAGAATCGGACAGCTGGAGCGGGAGCAGGAGCGGGTGCGGGTGCGGGAGTCGGGACTGTCGGAGGTGCCAGCAGCTGTCTGGCATCAAGAAACAGCCATCCGCAGTGCCGGCTAAAGCGTTCGCAATCGCTGTGCCGACCCGTGCACTTTGTGGAGCAAATCACCACTTCGGTGTAGGGGGGTAGTTTAATCGCCTAGCATATTTTGTAGTTGTACTCCAGTTACGTGAATCGAATTCCAAATTGTCACATCTCTCTAGTCTTTTGTCGTTAGTTAGTAGCACGTTTAGTCCAAGTCCAAGTCCAAGTCGCAACTGTAACTGAAATCCCACATGCAAAAAAAGAAAAAAGAGAAAAAGAATACAAAACGAAAGGAAACAAAACCAATGCAACTTGATGAATTTTCTAAATCTATAAACCTATTATTATACTACAATACTATTCTATGCGGTTTCAGCGCATTGAGATCGTCGATTTCTAACCATACAAATATTTATAACAAATAAAACACACACATACGTATATATACACACACACAGACTGTTAGCAGACGAAAAGCTTTATCTTTATTGTCTCGAAACAAAAGTATTCAAATGAACTTGCTACCAGGCAAACACATATTCATAACAAAAGAAAACGCAACAATAAACGAAGATGAATATTAACAAATGAATAAGCATAAAAGAAAACATATTAAATGGTCCATTTTAAAACATACACAGACAAATTATCCACCGATACCAATACGAAATATACTCTGAACTCTCGGACTCATTCAGTCGTGGCAATTATACGGCCGACGGCACAGTTTCTGTTTCTGTTTCTGTATTTGTTTTATCTACGAGTCCAGCATGTCGTACTTGTACTTTATTTTTAAATGAAATATATGTAGTACTCGTACTCTGAGCAAACACAACATTCGAATTATAAACACTCTTGCCATATACACCATTCGTTGTGGGATTGAGCCTTATTTTTAATAAAATGAAGCAAATGTGTAATTATCATTCATCATTGTAATGATATCTCAGAGAATATCACATTTTAACTGAAATTGCCATCGAAGTTGGGCACTTACAACTTCTGGATCATATTTACACACGCCGGCATAAGTCATCCGCAATAAATAATATTTCATAATAATAAGAAAGAAGAAAAAAAGAATTTTGGGGTAAATTTAAATGCCAATTTATAATGATTAAACCATAATTAAATAGTCGTAAAGAGGACATATGTGCAAATATTTGATCGATTTAAATTACAATATGGGCGGAATTAAATTGATTTAGAAATTCAGAAAAATAAACGAGACGTAAATTCAATTATATTTAAATAATCTATTAAGTAATTGATTCATTAAATTAATGAATAACTTAATACATTTTTAACAAAAACTCGGTGACTTCGGCATGCCGAAGACTTAATACTCTTGCAGTGATAATGTTCAAATTACGTTCAATTTTGACGAAGCTTGCCAACTTAAATGATTGGTTTCAATGCTGGCAGAGTTGAGAGAAAAATGTTCAAGAATCACGGTAATCGAGGGTTAAAAGCCATTTAATAATATCATATGTTGTTAAAACTGCTCGCACATTAAGTGCATTAGTGAGAGCATTAAATGCAGACAGATAACTTAATGAAGAGCATTAAATATACACTGCAAGGGTATAATTAATAAATAAAAAATAAAATTAACATAACGAGATTGCCTTGAGCAACAAACTGCCATAATATGCAATAAAGATACAGATTAACTATGTAAAGCTCATTAATATGTGTATTAAATGACAAACGATAACTGCAATTCTCGAGGTCATAAAAGTAAATTATCCATAAATTTCTCTCAACTGTAAACAATTTTAATATCTTCACCGTTTCTGTATTCTTTTCTTTTGCAAATTGCGCCGTTTGTGTTCAGTAAAAAGTTTAACATAAATTATTTATGGCTCACACACACTCGTGTAAACTCAGACACATACTCACACTCACTCACTGACACTATCATGCATATCTCAATGCCCCACTCTTATATCTAAACAAAATACTATTTCAATTTGTTAAAAACTTTTTAAAATTAAGGTACAATTGTAGCTAAATCAATTTCCAGACAAGATGTAATTTAGATATGAAAATTTTCAACTAGGCGTTTCAAGGACTCGTCGAACGCAAAGCAACTCATAAATACTTCTACTTTAATAAATGAATTTGTAACTCATTATCATTAGTAGTTTAGTGATAAATGTTAATAAAATCGAAATGCGAATGCAAATAGAAAACCGTAAATCTAATTCAAGTGTCAACGCAAATTGAAATATCTTCATCCAGATAAAAAAAAAGAAAATAATAAATGTCAAGCTTAAATTAAATTCACAGCTTGGGGTTAACCACAGGAAGCCGGATATTCGGCTGGGTTCGCAGTAAAGTCTCATTTATTACGTGCTAAAAATTAATAAACCTATGCAAAAGGTTCAACATTAGCCACAAAAATGTCATATTTTATTTATTAATTAATCGCATTAACATAAAGCGTCAATTTGTGCGACCAAACACCTCCTCATACACACACATAGCGAGCTCTAATACCAGGCGATTAAAAACTTTGACCCCCTGCCAAAGAAGAGTCAAAGTAAAGCTCCATTTCCGTTTTATAATATGTACACATAACCCAGGGCGCCATACTGGAACGTGCCTAGACTGCAAACAGCCCACGCAGCAGGCAAATAAGTAGGCAACAACAACAGCAACAGCAACAACAACAACAAGGACTAGAACAACAAGGACAACAACAATGCAGACATCGTTTTGAACAGCGGCGTCAATGACATGCTCAATTTTTCATGCATTATGCTGGCGCACTGTGCGTATGCTTAATATTTGCCAGATATTGACTTCGGCACAAAGCACAGTTAAGCTTAGCAATATTTGAACTGTAAGCTTGGGATGCCCCAAGGATTCCACACACTGAAGCCGTAAAGCCAGCCTAAAATGCATAAGACAATTTGTGCCAAAGTCTATATAAATGCCTTACGACTTTATATCTGTATGTGTGCGCGTGTATATATATATATATATATATGTTTGAATGTGTGTGCATGCATGCGTGACTGTGTGCGGCAAACCAATGCGAATGTGCAAATATGCCAGTACATATATTCCAACTATACAAACATATCAAACGGCAACTGTTGTATATATATCTCGTATTTGGCTCTAACCAAACTCAGGGTATTCAAATTCAATTATTCAGCTTGTAGCTCAACAAATTGTGATATCAATTAAAAGGAATAAACATTTACAAATTCGAAAGAACAAATTGATGTCAAATGTGCAAATCAACCTGAGAAAATAATGCTTAGAAAATCAAATCCGTGGCAAGCTTAACAAATTCGTTATGAAAACTTTTTGTAATATTCCAAGGCAACAGAATGCAATCAGGTTAAGTACAAGTAGTATTAATTATGTTCAAGTTTTTTAACGGCACACGTAAGATAAGTTTAGTATTTATTTTAATTAAGGCAACGAAGAAGCGAAGGCTAACTTTTGAGCATCTGATGTTAGGTAGGAAAGCAGAAGTTAAACAGCTAAATAAACTCTAAGTTAAAGATTGACGCCAAAAGACTAACAAAAGTCGCAAGCTGCCAATGCGAGTGAGGGTGGCATGAAGAGTTTATGAAGAGTGAAATTAAGTAAATCATGCGACAAATTTCAAGAATAAGATGAAAAACCAAATAAAAAAAATATAAGAAAAGTTTTACGTTATTTAAAGATACACAAGAACTTCAATGAAAGAGCATTGCCGCCTCGCCGTTGCCGATTTAATTTCCGTTCGTTGATTTCGGGGGTTGGTCCTCAACAGAATCAGAGGCCGTGTGAAAACAGTCTCAGGGCAAAGTCAACTTTACGCCACATTGTCGTCAAATTTTTGGCTGCTAGGGGGAAGTAGGGGTGGCTGAACTGTCAGCCTGAAGCGTGTTCAGTGCGATGTTCTGGCCGTGTGTCCTGGCCAACTGTCTGTGCTGGCTTTTGTTGACACAGCTGCCGCTGAAGCAGCAGCAGCAGCAGCAGCAGTTACCGGCAGAGGCACCTCTGCTGAGTGTCATGCGCACACGCACGCTCTGTTGCCTACTTCCAGGCGTCTTTGAAGCTGTCGTTTGTTCATTGTTGCGCTTTTGCAGCTACACACACAGACACTGCCACACACAAAGTGCACACACAAATAATTCAGTCAGCATCGTAAACATCTGTTTTGTGTTTGCCTTTTATATTCCAGTCGGCGCGCGCGTGTTGCGCACTCTGCTCTCTGTGCTCTGCTCGCAGCATCCTGACAACAGGATACGAGCAATGTGCGTCTCTCGTCAGTTTCAGCATCAGCGCCACGGTGCACGGAGCGTGGTCGCAAGACACGCAACTCGCAAAACGGAACACGCAGCAGCAACGCACACACACACTGAGGCTGAGCTGAGGCAGTGGCAGTGGCAGACTCAAAGAAAAAACTAGTCCCAAATGTAATTTTCAGTCAAACGATTTTTGACTTTATCCACGAGACAATTAAAAACGCATTAGCTGAGGCAAATCCCCCAGTTTGTTCTGGAGCGTGTTAACTGCTACATTTAAGAAGTTACGCAAATACTGAATCTGATTTTCCCCAGTGCGTTTCTGTGTGTTTCTTCTTCAGTTTTATTTTTTTTGGGCAATGCGAATATCGATTGCTCTGGCTGCCTTGCATAAGTCCTCCAGAGATTGGAATACAAACGCAGCAGTAAAACTCAGCGCGTCTGAAAGGTAACAAAAAAAAATAATAAAAATAAAAGAAAAATATAAAAAAAGAAATAAAAACAATTAAGAAGGGGCGGACAACAAGAAGGCATTCTGCAACGCCCAGGCTGGCAAAAGCGAATGCACAAGAACAACGAAGGCAACTTGTAGAAATTAAGTTTTAATTATACATATTGAACTCAGCATGTGAGTAATGATGTTCAACAGCAGGACGATAATGATGATGCAGCAGCAGCAGCAGCAGCAACAGCAGAGGCTGATCCAAACGTGAATTTCAAACAATTGACAGTAGCAAAAACAACAACAACGAATCCGTTTATATATAGCCTCAGCAGATTTCAAGCAAAAGGTACCTTGCTGTGTGTGTGTGTGTGTGTGTGTTTGCGTGTGTGTGTGTTTGCTAACATTTATTTTTGGGCCAAAATGGATATCGCCTTGCGTGGCACAGCGTCAACGACTGGAACTGGCTCGCACACTGGCACTGGTAAGTCCTTGAGAGTCACTGAACTGACTTACACACAACGCAAAACATGACAGGAAAAAAAAAAACAATTACAAACAAAAAAGAAGAATACTTACAGCAAAACACATGTAATCGCATGTGTGTGTGTTGTTGTTTTTTTTATTGTGATTCATTTGTCTATCCACTAATGGAAACGAACGCAAATACTTACCAACAACAACAACAATTTATTTTGCAGGTTTACATCATGCTGTCTCATTGGGCAACATTGAAGTCACCACCAAGGTTGGTAGCAAGCTAAACAAATAACTGTTTTGGGTCTGTGTTGCACTTACTCTCTGGCAATTAACGTGCCTATGAAGTGAACTATCAAATAGCAATGACTAACAAATGAAATAACTTTGATTTCTGTGAATAGTTAACTTAAACTCAAGTTTCATATATTTATAACAGTTATTTACAAAAAGCATATTTATTTTGATATAAACTCTTCAAGTTATCAAAGTTACAATATATTTTTATAAATTTTATTTTAATGATACTACTTAAGTGCTCTATTTATTTATTTAAAATAACTTCAAATGGTGCTTCATAAGCTATTTGTTAATACCATTTGAAATAACTATTTTAAATAAGATACAAATTTGTCACATGTGACGTATACTCAATATTTTGAGTTTTCTTTATGTGTGTTTATTCTTAGGTTTTATTTAGTTCACTATAGCTTGAAAGCATTTCAATTGTCAATAAAAACAAGCTCTAATCTTTATTAGGCCACCTATTCCAGCCACATGGATCGCAGCTACGACTCTGAGGACGAGCACACTGGTCGCCGACGATTACGTCAAACTCTCTCCACCGAATCGCAGCCTCGCACTTCAGTCTACTCGCGCGGAGATATTAGAGAACAGGTGAGTGGAGCTCATACTCTGTTAGTAGTCTAGTTAGTAGCCTTCACTCTCTCTCTCTTTTATATAGTACTGCCTTACGGATCGTCAGTTGCATAGCATTGAGCAGCGTCCGCGAAGGGAGCGTTTCTTTGGCTGCCTATCGCGTAGGGGCCAGGCGCATGGTGGCAGCTTTCTGGGCGGCTGTGTGGGTCGACGTGTGCCCTCCGATGAGAATTTGGCTGCCTATGCGCCCTTCGAGAAGTATCCACGGTGCGTATGCGTAACGTCATTAAAATTTGTATGGCTTGTTGACATTTCGTTTGGTTTAGCTATCAAAACAACTACACTGACACACACGAATTGGATAGTTCCTATTTTCGCCGTCAACCGGCATCGATCTTAAGCACTGGTAAATCGAATGAACCGGATTTGGGTGGCCGCTACACTTGGATAGGTCAAGCGGCGCAGTCGAATAATAATAGTGATTACCAATCGGAATCGAGGTACGAGTCTGTTAATTGTAGAAGTCCTAAACTCCACCCCAAGAACAGAAACAAAATTGTAAAATGCTATGCCAAACTTTCGCTAGAGATCATGCTTAAACTTAACTGTCGCACTATCTGTAGTCTCTATCTCTGTCTCTACTATAAATACATAAAAACGCTTGCAATGCCTGCTCTTAACTCTTCCCATGCAACAGCAACAACAACAATAATAATAATAAATGACTACAAAAACAACAATGAAATATCCGCCTGCATATCATCTTTGCATAATGCCAAACGCTTCTTGCTTTCAAGGTCTTTCGCTTTCTGTAAACTACACTGCAATATGAAAAACTAAAAAAAAGCTGTAAAATATATTTCCTATACTTTTCGTTATTCATTCACCTTCCCCTTCTCTCTAAAACGACTAAAAAACCAATTAAACAATTGAAACCAATCCAATTACTAAATGAACAAAATGTGTAAAAAGGGCAACTTGTTGTACAGCACCACTTGAATCCTTTTACCAGGATGTTTTGCTACGGAATTATTATGTCGAGCTTTGCGCTCCACCACATCCTACACCACCAACATCACACACCAATCAAATCGCTAATGTAAATGTTTGGTATGTAAAGTGATAAAAAACAACCATAACCTTAAAATCTTAACTTAAATTAATTATGAATTTAACTAAATTTAAACATAAACTAAAATTAAGAACAAAATTTAAAAAGTGCTCTAATTAAATATATATTTTTGTTTTTTAATATAAATATATACATATAATGCTATGTGTCTGCACGTGACTAAAGAACAAGAAAGCGAGCAATGTTTGTTTACCATGCCCAAGAAATTATTCAAATGGTTGCTAATAGTTTCGGTCTGTACTCTGTTCCACAGCTCGTATCACTATCCCACATATGCCACAATGCCGACGCCACACCAACATCAGCAGCAGCAACAACAACAGTCTGGAGGCCTTCCCAGGTGAGCAATTAAAAATTCAGAAATGTAATTAAAAACTTATCTTAAAGTTGAAATGTAATTTGAATGAGAGGGGCCTTACACGTGTAGAAAAAAATATAATGATATATCCCTTAAAGTATTTTGGTATCTCAAAAATTATCATACTGAATAGAAATATCAAAAGCAGTGTATATTACCTCAGAATATGTTCTAAGTCATGCTGATATTTCGAGTATCTTACTCTGCTCGCAAACATTGAACAAATATTTGCAAGATAGATGAATTCCCAGCTGGATATTGACTTACAGATCAATTCAAATACAAATAAATTACCAATGTTTCCTTTGTGATCTTTATTATTATTATTTTATTTACAGAACCAAGCACGTTAGCTTTGCCAGATCGCATACCTTGACCAGCTTTGACACTGTAAATGCGGGGTTTCGGTCGTCGGGTCGCTTGAAAAGCGCACGTAGTCAGGAGCGTTTGATTGGTGGCAAGAAACCTATCATTGCCACTGGTTCCATGTACGAGACTCTACAGCCTATGCTGCCACATCAGCATCAGCAGCAGCCACAACAGCAACAACAACAGCAGAGTTCGACTCTGCCCAAAACATGGCTGCCGGCTCCGGTGCAGCTGCAGACTTGTCAGCATCATCACGGACCTATTCATCTTCACCAACAGCTGCCAGGTAACAACACTCATCTAATGAATACCCTACCTCAACCTGAACTCAAATTTCACTCGCAGATAACATGCTGGGATTGATAATACCACAATCGCTGCCAATGGCACTGCCGCCACCCAGTCCAGAGGTTCTTATTCTGGAGAAGAAATTTCGCAATGCGATGAAGACGCAGGCCACCCAAACCGATGTTGCAGCTCGTCGCGAGGGTCTCTCCAATGCACAGATGCTGGAGCTAAGTCCACGTGCTCCACATCGAATTAAGGTCATGTCCCAGGGTGCTCAGACAAATGGATTGCAGAATGGCAAAAAGCTGACAAAGAGCCTGTCGGAGATACCCAATGGCAAGGATATGATGCATCAGCATTATCCACCGGGGTAAGCAACCCGAATGTCTTATTGTAAACTGCAGATATGATATATATCAGATGACCCTATATCACTAAAAATTCCATATAAGACCAGCTTATTTAGTTGTCTTCTAAGGCTGATCCTTCGATAAGCTTAAGATTATATCAGTATTAATGCACTTTTCACGGTTTCCTATACAAGTCGTTCTACCAAGTTCTAACAATACTATTTGTAAGATAAAAATCTTTAAATATCCATTATATTCCATCTGAGATGATATTCAGGAAAATATGAAGTATTTGTTAGGATTGTTATGAAAAACATCCTATTATAAGGCAAATTGCTAAATCATTCAGAATTAAAAGTCGTCTAAGTCTTCATATCACATCAGTAGTAATTATTATACTTTCCCCTTGCAGTTTCGCGTATCCCCACGAACTGATTTATCGCACCCAGTCGCAAGATGTGACGCCACTGCAAACCCTCTCAGATGCCCAAAATAATATTATGTACTACAAGCCGCCGCCTCCACTCCTGGATGCGCACAGCTATGGCCACGGCATGGAGCACTTGAGTCGTGGTCGCGTGGAGCAGAATGTGGAGTACGTGAATGTGAATGCAGCTGCGTTGGCGCTGAATGAGAGCTTCGACTACGAGAGCAACAGCTTGCCACGTCGGGCATGCACCTCACACGTCCGCACTGAGACCGATTACTACTCGAACAGCTTGCCCCGACGTCCGGATGCACTGCACAACCATGATGTGTGCAAGCACATTACGGAATGCGCCGAGCTGATGACGGACAGCGTTCCATTGGATTTCACACGGCCACATTTGTTGCCGCCACCCAGCCAGTACTGCAAGAATGACGAGGACCCTGTAGAGGAAGACTACGACGATGAGGAGGAAGAGGAGGAGGATGTGAGGGCCCACGAAACGGAAAGCTACAGTTCCGAGGTGTGTCTGGAGCAGGTGGCGGCTGGTAAAAATCGTCGCATGTCCATGTTGCCCATGGACGAGTACTCACCATTTCGAAGGGATGATGTACGTCGGCAGTCCATGCCCGTCTATGGCCAAACGGAGAAGCTCATTGATGGCTTTGGGCCGCGCAGTTCGTTTCGGAGTCGGGATAAGGTCAGTTGCTTTCCGGATTTGCCGTCACCGCGTGATGAGCAGGAGATCTTCATAGACTTTAAGCCGCACGTCTCACCCAAGCCCAGTCCCAAGCACCAGGTGAAGCATAGGAAGCAACACAAAGCCGAGATTGCCATGCGCAAGATGCAACAACAGCGGATGGCTCAGGCGGCTGCATTGACACTGCCCAAGCTTAAGCATCAGCAGCCAGCGCCAGTCGAGATTGAGGCTAGAAAAGTGGAGATTGTGCATAGCGACGAGGATGAGGAGGACGACGATGAGCAGGAGGAGGAGGAGGATGAGCAGCAGCTGAACGAACAGACCCATCAGGAGCAGGAGCCCGACTCGGAGCAGCCACAAGGGGATGATGATGAACCACTCTATGAAAACATTACGCCCTGTGGTTGCAAAATAGAGACACCTGGCACCGGTGCAGTCCAGGACAAACGGATGCAGTTTCGCAAGCGATCGGTTAGCCTGGATGATGATTATGCGGCCATGACAACTGTCTCCGGCCCAGCACCGGGCTTACGCCTGCCCTCCACACCAGCGAGCCCCTTTCGTGATGAACTGCTGCTGGCCAATGTCTCAACTTATCCATCCTCAGACTCGCTGGCCAATGATAATACACGCGATCACTCCGATGGCATTTGGAATGAATCTCAGGTCACGGTGCTGACAGCCGAACAAAGAGATATCTCAGATACTTCCTATAGCTCTAATCTCTTGCTGACACCCTCATCCAAGCGAAAGAATCTGCTACTGCAGCATCAGCAGCGTAGCTCTGTGGACACGGATGTATTGGACTTTGAGGAACTGGTGGGTGTACTGGAAATTATTCAAAATTAATAATTTTCATAATTTTATAATTCCTAACTAAATCCTTTTTTGAGGCCAATATCGTAAATATATTTTTTGGAGACTTCAAAACTCAAAAACTTAATTATCTCCCACATAGATCCGATTATTCACATTGCTTATAAGCACCCTCTATTCCCACAGAGTCCCACCTATGGCCTCCAAACACTGCCAAAGATTATCAGAACGCCCACGCCGACGACAACAAAACCTGCGACAGCGCCAACACTACCGGTGATAATGCCTGCCATAGCTGTGACACCCTCCAGCAATCAGCTACCGGATGCCATTAGCTCACCACTGCCTAAGCGCAGTATGGTGGCCCGAGGATCCGTTCCAGATGCTCGCCAATTGATGTATGTGGCGGGAGCGCCCAAACAGCGGTAAGCTTATGCCCTAATCCACGTGGAACTTTAATGAAACCCGTTTTCCACCCCAACCCGCTTAGCCACTCGGACGCCTCGTTTTTGCCCTCCGGTTCGGATTATTTGCGCAGCGCTGATATTTCAGAGTGCAGCACAAATACAGATGAGTATGCGACGTGCACGGACACATCGAAGCGTACACCAGGTATTAAGACACCGCCGACTACGACTAGCTCTTCGTCGACTACACAAGTGCCAGGTTTGGGTGCCTCCCGACAAATATTGTGTGTGTTCGTCTTTCTGTGTGTGTTTGTGTGTGTGTGCGTGTGTGTTTAGTGCGTGTGTGTTCGTATTTGTCGTCTACATTAACTAATCAAACCATGCTGTGCCGTGTCACCCCTCAGCAGGATGCAGTCAGTGATCATCCAATCCGCACACCAAATGCCTCACACGCTTGCTGCCTTACATAGTACTACCTTAGCCTATAGCCAATAGCCTCTAGCCTCTAGCCTGTTGCCTCTAATGCCTCTTAGCTCTCATCCACATCCAACTCTGTCTCTGTTTCTCTCTATGTCTCTCTATATCTCTTGCTCTCTCTCTATGTCTATAGTTTGTTGTTGTTGCTTGATGAACGCCTTGCCCGCAATTGCTTTAGCTGTCTGAAGAACAAAAAAGGAATGCTTTGAAATTCTTACTAAATTCCCTTCTTTTTTGTTTAGTTTCCACCCAGAGTTCTCAGCTGGAGAAGACTAATGCAGGCAGCTCCTTCGAAAGTGCCAGTTCACTTTATTCTATGCGCGAGGAGCTCCTACAACATGACGAGAAGCCGCCTCCAGCGAAAACCGTACAGCAGCTCAAGTCCCCAATGGGATCGGCTGCGGAGCTGACCAGAAAATCGCCGTCGCATTCGATAAGTAGCACTACCTCATCGGGTAGCTGTCAGATCTCGGGTCAGGCCATCAAATCACCCGGCAAGGAGTGCGAACCGCAAACAGTTAGCAGCGGGACAAGTGGACAAATGAAGGTTAGTGCAGCGGAGATGATGCCGCAGAAGCCCAAGCCCGAATCCATATCGGAGGATGAGCGCAGCGAGATTCGGTACTCCTCCTCTGGCTACTATGAGAGTCCTCACGAGGAGGACGACGAGGACCAGGTGACGCTCAGTTCCAAGGGACGTCGTCAGCGACAGGACGATGAGCGAAAGCGTCGTAAGACCAGCATGAAACTCGACATCGAAAAGGAGAACATGCGCGCTTTGACCAGTCCCATTAAGAAGCTTGGCAGCGGCTCTGGGAAGCTGCAATCGCCGGAGCAGCATATCGTTGGCGCAGCTCCCGATGGCGGAAGTCCAAGCAAGATGAAACGTTTCCGTCCCAAGATACGACGACAGTTACGGAAGAGCTCCAGGGAGGATGTGCTCGCAGCGGCAGCTGCCCGACGCGCCCGTGCCACGCCCACTCTATATGGCTTAAGTAGTGCCAGTGGCGATACCGAGTTGCTGCTGGATGCCAGCATGACCAGTACCATGGGACCGAGAATTGTACCAACACCGGCAACAGTTGATCCGATAGCTACAACGACAACCACCTCGGCCTCATCCACGGGAACCATTACGAAGCAGGAGCCAGTTGCACCTCCAATAAGGAAGCCGCATAGCTGTGCCACGCCCACAGCACTACTGTCCCCCAAATTGCAGACAGCTACTGTGCCAGCTACCAAAAGTGCCTCGGAAGCTGGTCATCTCAAAGCGAAATCGATTGAATCACTGCGTTCAGTTTCGCCCGGCTCAGATTCGGTGTTCTACAGTGAGGCCGATGGGAATGTGCCCAGTGCGGATCAGGGGCACTGCCTACACTGCGGCAAGGAGGTGGAGGGCAAACAACACAACAACAACACAGTCAGTGAGCTTGCTGGTGATTCTGTGGAGTCCATACCCTTTATCGAGCAGGAGGCGGATATTGTGAAACCGCCCTCCGATTTCGCCGACTCACCGGTGACCACGAAAACCACACAGCGACTCTACAAGAAAATGGATAAGCGTTTTCGATCCGAGGAGCGCTACCATGGCGAACGTGGCAGGCACTACAAGACCAGGCAGGAGAACATACGCGCCAAGGTAAGTGCGGGGGGAAGTTGCAGCTAAAAGGGACTAAAATAAAGCAGAAAATTCTTTCTATTTTTCACTCAATCGAATTCAGTCTCACATTCAAAATGAAATTTTAACATCCTTTTTGGAAATCGGATTTCAGTAATATTTTAAATATTTATTCTTCCCCTTTCCATCCAGAGCGAGGAACGTGGCCGAGCTCCTAGTCTACCCAATACACCCATACTACGACCCGCCGGATCCAGTCCCTGTGTACTGCCAGATATTAATACGGAACAGAGTCAGCATATCATCTATAAGGGACACTATAATGCGGGGCGTTATACGCGCTTGACTGATGATGATTTGTGGACACAATTGGATCATCAATGCTTTGGTAGGTCAACTTCTATCCGATTTATATTCAAAACCATTAATTTAACACCGCTGACTTAATTTTTAGATCGGTCTCGCGAGCGTCGTGCTTCCACGGAGTCGGAGAAGGGCTTCCATGCCAAGTACCAGGTGATTCTACATCGGCTGGTTCAGCGTCGTTGCACACTCGAAATGTATCATCGCCAGAAGCACAACAACTTCCGTAAGTTAACGAACTACAGGCAACACCCTGTATTATTTTCTATATTTGGCGCAACGTGCGCGCTGAATTGTTGCGAGAGCGTTGGGAGAGCTTTTTATAACCTTACTTGAGGTACTTTAGATTTGTAAAGAAGGGTGTGAGTGGAATATAAAAATTTATATTTATATTTTGCTGTGAAGTTGTCAGATAGTAAGCATTAAATGCAATTCCAAGATAAGAGTAGTTAAGTCTAGGGGTTTTCATGTTAAAGAATATATAACATTGATCTTTCCCAACAATAATTGACTTAATTAAGAATACAAGAATTAAATGATATTTCTATCAAGATTATATTATATTATAAATAGATAAAAAGATTTCAAATCAAATTTAATTATATTGGTACACAGTAAGGGTATTCGACTTTCGGATAGCCGAAAGTTGCAAATGTCTCTTCTTTTCCTCATGATAGTGGGCCGGTGGCGCTCTGACGCTTTTCATGACCGGCACTTGGCATAAAAATGAACAACAAAAAAATAGAAAACGCCGAATAAAAAATAGTTTTTTGTGTTTGACTCTGTTATCGAAAATAGTTGAGGTGCGTGCTTTGTTGTGTGCCGATGCGACGGATCTCGCCATTATCAAATGTGAAAAGTGCAAATTACGAGTGTATCGAGTACTCCGAGTATCTGTTCATGGTTTTCAAGGCGAAAGTCGATCGGCTGGCGTCACTCTTATTATTCGAAAATTTAATATTTACACAATAATTAATCCAAATGATTGGTGGGTAAACAAAAAAAGTAGCATTCAGCAGCGGGCTATATGAAGTCTTATATTTTCAAATGCCACAGAATTAATATCGTCGAATTCGTCGCCGGATTCGGTGCGACGTAAACTTGAGGAGGTCTTAAAGCTAATGCTCTTGGTGTGGGCACGTGAGAGTTTCGTCATAACCACGCTCAGCAATGGTGCGCACGGTAATGTGTCCGGAAATAAAATCACACAAATCATATCACACACACACATGCATATGAGATGAGCATACAATTTATGTATCTTTTTAATTAAATCTCTCACGCAGGCGTAGACAAAACGGTTGTGGTGAAGAGCGATTCGGGAGAATTTGGCTTTCGCATACACGGCTCCAAGCCGGTGGTTGTGGCTGCAATTGAACCGGAAACGCCAGCGGAGAGTTCCGGCCTGGAAGTGGGTGACATCATCATATCGGTAAATGGCGTCCAGGTGCTGGACAAGCATCACACGGAGGTGGTCAAGATTGCGCACGATGGTTGTGAGAAACTGGAACTGCAGGTGGCCCGCACCATTGGCGTTCTCATGCACGAGCAACTGGAACCACCCAGTCAGCCCATCTTCAGCGGTTATCTCTGGCGTCAGAGTGGTCAGGCCAAGGGGGCTCCAAACACCAAGAAATGGGTGCGACGCTGGTTCTCCCTTAGGCCAGACAATTGTCTGTACTACTACAAAACGGAAGATGTAAGTCAGCGAACTTTATGTAAATATGTTTGAATTAATATTTAATTTAATATAGTAATTTCGTATGAGTATTTAAGCTAATGAAAAAGTCTGAATTTCTTTTAACCACTATTTACAAATTTGTTTCATTAGGATTCACAGCCCGTGGGTGCCATGATAATGGCCAAGCATACGGTGGAATTGTGTCCCCTCGATATAGGTAAGCCCTTTGGCTTCAAAATAGACTCTGGCGAGGGAATACCCATGTATGTGGCTGCTGACTCCGATGAACTGGCCAACAGATGGTTGAACTTGCTGCGCCAAGCGGCCACTCAAGACAATCAGTGGCTGGACAAAAGGTAGGAGAGCACATTGATCTTGAAGAAACTTGCAGAAAACTCTCTAATACTCTCACTCCATTTCTCTAACTCTCCCTCTCTCTTATTTAACTTCATTTTAGTGCGCGCTGTTTATATCAGAGCCCCGCCAGCATTGTGCGGCCCGATTGCTTTGGGTATCTGCTCAAATTGGGCTCAAGGTGGTGCGGTTGGTCGAAACGATATTGTGTACTTAAGGATGCCTGCCTCTATTTTTATCAAGATGCAAATAGCAAAAGTGCATTCGGTGAGTCACTCGCAGATCAACTACAATGTAGAAGTCTGCTCTAGAAAGTTTGAGTCGATAGTAATTAACGGGCAGATACCCTGTAGCCTAAATAACTAACCAAATTCTATTAGACTAACATGTTTTGATTGATTTGTTAATTTACGTACCTTAGTCATTGACTTTAAAATTTGATTAATAATACAAAATGTCAAGTCGAAAAAGATCTGAGATCATACCCGTTTTTCACAAAACTTTTGGCTTTCAAGGTATTAAGACATACACCAAACAGACAGCAGTCGCATGCTGCTAATTAATTAATGTTTGTGAATCAATTTGCTATCTTTTTTCTGCATTTTTTCTCTTTTTTTTTTGTCTAGGCATGGCCTGTTTGCACGGTTATAAAGTGGCCTCAATGTCTGCAAATGCGTCCGGCAAGAAGAACTCATTTGAGATAATACCACCAGAAGCGAAATTGCGTCATTATTATTTTTGTACCGAAAGCGAAATGGATAAGAAGCGGTAAGTCAAATTCTAAATTTACTAATATATATAGTAATATATATAATCTGTTCCATTTTCAGATGGATATCCGCACTTGAGTACTCCATAGATAGGTGGATCAAATCCGGGTAACTAAGGTTAAAAACACGCTCGAGATCGGCGCTGAGTAGCCGACGGAAGCGTCGAAGTTTTAGCTACTACATGGATTAGTTTTCTAAACCTTCAACTGAGCTGTTGGAATTCATATTGGGGACATTAGTACGGGTACTAGGTACTACCAACTACCACTTAAGTAAAAACAAAAAAAAAAAAACCAAACCAACAACCGAACAATGGAACAACAAACAGAACAAAAAGTATATAGTCAATAGTCCAGAGTTTTTATAGGCACTAAGACAAGGAATTTAGATCAGTCAGTCAGTTAGAATCGAGTTTGAAACTATTTTGAAATGCGAAAACACACAACACACACATACACAAGCAAGTAGAGAATGCTGGTGGGTATTCTTGTTATATATTATAGCTTATACATACTTATGTTTATCGAGGTTGTCTTGTTATACACACACACATAACTGGCATATATATATATATATATGTATAGCTTACGATATAGTAACTTACAATCTATATATATATATAGGTACATACATGCAGCAGACCAAAATTATTGTCTAAAGTGTGTTCGAGTTCAAAACAAAATTCATTAGGCTAGTTGGTATTGAGATCATTATTAGACGGGTATATCATCAGTGAGAAGTAATTTACAAAAGCATTGCTAAGAAGATTGAAATTAAACTGTTGAGAAACAATTAGTACTCATGACCAATTTCAAAAGCAGCTAATCCAAAATAGTGACTAACGAATGCTATAAATCATCAAATTAGAACTAGATTAGAATATTTGGGGCGTACCAATAATGGTTAAATATTTGAATGCTTAGTTCCACACTAGATACAAACAATTATTGCGCATATTTATAAGTCAAAACGGTTTTCGTCCTTATTGGAAACAACAGAAAGAACAACACAAGTTTGCAAACAGAACAAAAAAAAAAGTTGATGGTTTATTAGTTAGACACAATTATTATGATATGTATAGCTTTTTTTATAAACATTTGTAGCTAAGCTTAGTTTTTGATAGGTTGAGTTTTTTGGGATTGCCATCAAGTTTTCGTCGTCTGAGTGGAGACTCAACAATAATATGGAAAATGCTTTATGAGTGTACATTGAATACTTCACAATCCAGTAGTTACTTTTGTCATATATGCAATATATGATGTTTAAATATATGCTGATTTCCCCTTTTTTGTGGATCAGTGTGTGCATATTGAATACAAGTTTCTGTTGTTACACACACATACATACGTTTTTTATATATACACACACACACATATATATTTTATATATTTTAAAAAGAGTTTTCCAATTAATGGGTGTGCTGGTTCATTTAGATAATACGAGTACTTATTACTTATATATGAATGTATACATGAATAGTGTGACAGCCATTTTTATGTTATGTGGAAACTGTGAGCAAAACCATTAGTGAGCAAAAAAAAGAACAGATAAATTAAAAAAAAAAAAACAAAACAGACACACACTTAATAAGAGCTTTAATTATTAAATAAAAAATATATACCAAGAACAAATCGTACAATGTTATTAATTTTTATTGAGCCTAAATATCATATATATATAGTAGAGATTTAAAGGAATTTTCAAAAGGTAATGACAATTTTGGGAATGTTTATTGCCGACAGCTCGAGGGCATTGAAATGTGTCTAAGCATCATTAATTAGGCTCAATGATGCAACGAACTCTACTCTTACCTGCAAACTGCACTGCAACCTCCACTCCCTCTCCTTCTCTCTATCTCCATCTCTCTCTCTCACTCTTAGCCCCTGGCCCAGTCAGTCAGGCGTAAACGAAGCATTTCGAATGCGATCAATGAACCTGTCAGCTCAGACACTGACTACATGGCTACATGGCTGGCCACATCTTTTACGTTTTCCACAAATTTTGAGTAATTTATTTGAGATCGTAAAGAGCTGCAAAATATGCACACGGCAGCCGGCACTGAGAAGTCAACGACTAGCATAACAATTCGCTCGCCCTATGAGACTGCTACCGTTTTTGTTTCTCTTTTTTTTTTCGTTTTGTCTGCCTTTTCCACTACCTTCATCTGTCGGCCAAGTGTATTCTATTCGTAGCTGCATGCTCTCTAGTTCGAGTCATTTCGAATTCGAGTCACGGTGACGACAACAACACCAACAACAACAACAATAACAATTTAGTTCCACTGTGCGGCCCCTGCCACTGCCTTAATTATCTCTTCTGTTTTTCAGTCGCAGCCTTAGCCTTTCCTCTTCTTACTGTTTCTTTGATTTATTTTTTCTTTTTCTTGGCATTCCTTTGCTACTTTTCAAACAGTTGGTGGTTCATCATCATCACCAGGTACATCGTTGATGATCATCATCTCAGCCATCATCATCATTGTCATCATCATCATCATCAGCAGCAGCAGCAGCGTCATCGAGGCGTTTTCATCAAGCGTAACTCCCTCTGTTTTGGACCACAGACTCTGTGCAGTGGCAGCCCGCTAAGGCCCCGACTGTTTTTTCTTTTTTCTTTATTTCTTTTTCTCTTAATACTTAGCCGCATACCTTTGTTGTATGCAGTACATGTGCGGGAGATAAGGTTGCCAGACTGTTAAGCCAGCAACCTGTTGGATTTTCATAGAACCCATTTGATGTCTGACTACCAATAGTAATATTTGGAATAGTGTTTAGTTGTTGTTTTTTCTCTGGAGACCTTATCAATTTTAAACTAAATTCAAAATATTTACTCTTCACGTATATAATAACGCTTTCTCCTCTGCCGCATTATAAATCACACCCTACAAACGACATACTAGTGAAACGGCCACCGGAGTTACTCCCTCGCTCGGCGAACTGAGTGGATTGCTAAATGCAGTCTGGCAACCCGTGAGTATTGCTGCGTTGCTCCTACTGCTGCTGCTACCCTCGAAAACGGTAAGCAGTCGGTAAACAGGTAGCTCTCTAACTGACAATAACTCGTCGTTCGTATGCACGTTCCGTGTGTCTGTCCACTCGGTCTGGTTGTCCGCAGCGTGCGACTGGCGGTCGGTTAGTTGGTTTGCCCAGTTTGTTGCTGGGGCTGGTTTCGAGCACGATCTCTCTCTCTCTCTCTATCGCTACTCGCTGTAACTTGCTCTCTCTCATTTAGTCTCTCTCTCTCTCCTTGAATGAGCCACGACGACGACGACGTCGACGACAGCGGCTCGACAATGTGGGATTAGTCTTCGAGAGTTGATCGTAGCTGACGCACCTGCGCGCGGATCGTGCACCCATCTGGAATTTTACAAACGTATGTCTGTGTGTGTGTGTGTGTGTTGGTGTTTAGTTAGTGTATCTGTGAGATACATATTGGGGGAAAAATGCAGGCACAGTGAACTTGTTGCAACGTCGCAAGCAACCAACCCGCTTACCGCTTACCGATCACCGATCACCGATCGCTGAAAAGCGCTTTTCTGTCGGCGTTTCCAAGCGTGTCGCCGTCGTCGTCGTCGTCGTGTTGTGTGAGTGTGTGTGGGAAGAGTTTGGGACTACTTGAGGAGCGAATTGGTAGCTGCACTGGCTTCAGCTCCTATTTCAAACAAAATGTAGAAAAACACATTTCAGCTGCCGTATCTCGTTTGTTGCTTGGCCCGTTCGCTGGGCTCGTTCGTGTTTGTTAGTTCGGTTCGTTCGTTCGTTCGTTCGATTGTTGGTTCGGTTCGCTGGCTGGTTTCGTACGTGGTTTGATATTGGTTTTGTTGTTGTGATTTGTTGTTTTTTTTCGCTCGGCTTCTACGTGGTTTGTGGTAGCTGCTGCTGCTGCTGCTGCTGCTGTTGCCGTTGCTCCCGTAACACCCGCGACCCCGTGCGACTGATCGTGCCGTGATTGTGTCTGTAGAGAGTCATTTGTATCTGTGTGTGCGTCTGCGTGTATCTGCGCCCGTATCTAAACTAAATGTGTATATTTTGCAAGCCACACAACAGTGCTATCTAAGCTTTGAAAAAAAATAAACTAAATTTAGTATATACTAAATATTTTTATTGACAACTAAGTCTAATTATAAATATCGTTTGCATTCTAGAAATCTCTATAAAAGTAACTCGACAAAAGTGCCTCTAAAACAAAAGCAAGAAGAAGAAAACAAAATAAACTAAAAAAAAAAACAAAAAACTTGTTCAAAATACTTGGAACACTGGCCAAGCAAAGTTTGAAAGAGCCTCATGCGCTCTTCTCCACAGCCATCAAAATTGTTTACAGGTAAGCCAAGCCACACGCCCCAAGCCAACAACAGGCAACACCCTCTACAAAAGAGGGGGGTGCAAAAAGAAAAAAAAAAAACTGGAAAGATTCCACTCTACGAAATTCCGCAGCTGAAATTTTTATTTTAGGGTCTAGCTAATTATTTTCTTTTTGATTTTCGCTATGGCCAAAAGCAAATCACAGCGAGTAGCAGCAACAACGAGTGGGCGAGAGAGCAAAAGCGGGAGAGAGAGAGAGAGAGAGAGAGTCGCTCTGCTCTCTCAGCGAGTAGCAAAGTAAATAAAAAATAAGTTGACTGCGAAAAACCTGCTCCAAGCACACACACACACACTCACTCACACACATATTGGAGCCCAACGTTGGCGGCTCTCCGAAACAGTTGGCGGTTTTTGTTTTTTTTATTTTTATTTTTTTTTTTGGGCGACTGGCGGCGGCTGCCGCAGCGGCTTCCACTACAACTGCATGTGCCACTGTCATTGCCACCGAACTCAGTGTGGTGCCTGTGGTGCCAGCGCTCCATTGACAGGCAGCAGCCTGGCGCTCGACTGAGGCTGAGGCTGAAGCTGAGGCTGACTCTGACTTGGTTCGGTTTGTAGCCACGAACCTTTGCTTGGAATTTTTTCTTTATTTTATTTTGTGTTTTTGTTTTTATCTTTCGGTTTTGGTTGTTGTTGCTGTTGTTGGCCGTAAACCAGTTCACTTGTAGCCAGTGCCAGTGGCCAGTGGCTCTCCGCAGCCTCAGTTTCAGCAGCTCTCGTCGTGCTCAATTTGAATCCGGTTTTTTTGGACTTGGTCGTCGTCGTCGTCGTCTTAGCCGTCTTGGCCGTCTTGGCCGTCTTGGCCGTCGTTGCCAGCTTGGCTTGCCGCGCGCTTTAATTGTTCAGAACGTGTGTCCAAAGAGGAAACGCAATTGCCGCAAGCTTCTGTTGGTGCTTGATGCTTGGGGTTCGGAATCGGATTTGGATTTGGATACGATGCCATCATCTGGGCTCTGCCATCTACATCGCTCCAGCATCTTTGTGCTTATTTTCCTCTGATTTCTTTTAAATGCTTTAGTTTTTTTTCGCTTTTAAAAAACGCCTCCCGCGCTCCCACAGTCTCGTTTTTCATTTTGTGCTGTGGCTTTGGGTATTTGGTGGGGGAAATTGTAGTAGTATTTGGTAGTATTTTGGTATTCGGGCTACATTGGCTGTGGTTCTATGAAGCCATTGGCTTTTGTCTCGCTTGACTGAAGCTGGAGCGTTCCCAACTCTTTGAATTTTCAGCGTCATTGTTTGTTTATAGGCAATTTGGTCTTCCTACTTTTTAGCATAAGAATAGGCACATTAAAATTTATGGCATACGGTATATTTTCTGGGTGGGTTTTTTCTTAATTCTTGATATAAAATTTGATATTACTGCAATGGTTGCTTGCAGTATGGAAGTTAATTTAAATGGCTTTTAGTGGGCTGAAAATGGCGCTCAATAAAAAATGAAATTAAATTAAAAATAGAAACAAATTAATAGCATCTAAAAGTTAACTTAAACAAAAGAGACACACACACTTAATGCTGGCCCATAAAGCCACAAACCATACAATGGCCCAGACAATTGGCCATAAAAGGCATAGATCGTCTACAGTCTGCCACGCCCATTTTAGCACGTGTGCTTTTGTTTTAAATGGCGTTTGATAGACTCGATAAATTTTGTGAAATGTTTTCGATCAGTTTTGATGATGAAATTAAATTCCCTGATATATGTGGGGATAGCCATAATTTGAATATTTAACAGAACTGGAATTAAGTCGTTGCTTCAAAGGCAAAGCCAAAGTCTGAAGTAGCCAATGATTAAGAATTATTGACAAAAGAACTGAGGAACTCTGTTTTTTTTCTTAGAGAGTGTATCTGACATAAGAAGCACGAAAAACGATCGGCTTAAGGGGATTAACATGCTGAACAGGTAAAGGGAAATATCCAGAAAAAATGGGAAAAACTTCATCGTAAATTCAACGATTAATTTAAATTAGAAAAGCAACAGATATTGTGTGGGTTAAGAAGTCACGTAAATTCAGAGATTAAAATATAAATATGCAAAGCAAGACAACAAATTAACAAAAAAAAATATATATATGTATTAAATAATAAAGTATATATATATATAGTCAACTAATAAAGTATATATATATATAGTCAACTTTATTATTTAATGTAAGTAAATAATACTGGATTTTCCAGAATGTTTCGGGTTCCGATTCTGGTACGTAAAGTGTAAAATTTCCGCTAAATATTTCGGTATTTTTCCAAACTTTTTTATGGTATACGGTTACGTAATGGCATCTTGATTTTTGCCGGTAATGAAAAAGTTTGTGAGAACGTTTCAGTCGGGCGTAACTGACTGCAGAATACTCTGCTACTATTTGAGCAAAGAAATTATATCAATTTAATTCATCATGAAATTATGGTGTCTGCAGTGTCTTCTTACGCTAAGCCTAACAATGGTTAAGTCTCCAGCTCTATTCTTGATCAGAATTAATCTCTCTCGATCTCTCCGTCTGTAATAACAAACGTATCAGAGACTTAATATTTTTGAAATCAGCTTTGTTTGGGCTTCACAAAAATTGTAAATTTAATTGAAATTTCAGTCCGATTCCAATTCCAATAGAATGTCCAAACTATCAGATGGTCTCTGCAAATATAACTCATTTTTAACCTATCTTCTGTAATATAGCAGCAATAAATCTGGTTCTCTGAACTCCGCCATTAACCCATCAATCAACTTGCTGCTTACAGACCTGTTTTTTATTATGCTCTATTCGCAGCACTTTGATCGTAACAATTATAAATTATGTTTTTCAATAATAAGTGAACAAGCTAGGAAATCAACCGAGCAGTCTGCAGGCTGCACATCGAGCCCATAAAACATCATTAGCAGCTCTCGAGAACGGATTCAATGGCTTGCTGCAGAATTAGCAAAGCTTTTAAATTAATGACAGCGCACTTACACACAACACACACGCACACACACATCGATGGAGTGGGGCATGTGTAAATCGCATAGATATTAATCAAGAAAATTATAGACAAGCAGCTAGGCTGCTGCAGCAGGAGGGAGCAGGAAGGGAGCAGGGATGGTGCAGGGAGGGGCAAGCCGTCGAAGTACCAAACTACAAGCGCTGTTGATTATGGCTACAGATTTTAATAGCTTTGACTATTATCTCAGCCAAAGAGTTGCCCAGACTAACGCATATGTGTTGTGTGTGTGTGTGTGTGTGCAGCAGGCAGCGTCTATAATTACAAGTTGTTTCTTTTAGTTTTATTTTACATTTTTTTTATATTTTATTTTCTTCTTCTCCATCTTTTTTTTTGTTGATTATTAGCTACCTTCGCCTTGGCAGCGAGCCTGGCCCGAAGGGATTAAAACTGAAAACACACACGCACACACTCGCTGACCCTTTCTTGTCGTGTGTTGTTTGTTGTTGTTGTTGCTGTTGTTGTTTGTTTTGTAAGCAAACTGAAGTAGTGCGCTAAGCGTCTTGGTCCAAGCCAAGATATGAGCAAATGCATTGGACATCAGCGGCGACTTGGGACAAAACTGCGTCTCGTTTCTATACAAATATTGAAACCCTCTGCGCATGTGTTTTTCTCATATCTCCCTCTGTCGGTGTGTGTGTGTGTGCGTGCGTGTGTATGTGTTTTTTTTTCTGTTTTACTTTTTATCAACTGCTTTGAACCTTTTTTCACTGCGTCTGCTGGTCTCACTGCGGCTGTTGCTTATTTACACAAAGCCCAGACCCAGACCAAGACCCAGACCCAGGCCCAGAGCAGGCAGCGAAAAAAGTGGCAGCCAAATTGCTCCTCGATATCTTTTATTTTCTTCACCAGTAGTTATTGCTGATGTTGTTGTTACTGTTGCTGTTGTTGTTGCTCTTGCTTATACAATTTTTATACGCTGAACCCATTAAAAATTGTAAAAAAGGGTATATAATCGGTTTGTATAAAAGTGTATAACAGGCAGAAGGACGCTGTTCTTACCACATCAAATATTTATGTATATATATATATTCTTGACCGGATTAAACAATCATGTCTTTATGAATATAAGAGATAGTGAATTTACATTTTAAACATGTTGTAGTATATCCCACGCAGTTTAAGTTTACTTCATTTTATCGATACATTTAGATTACCATTTATAAATATATCAATAAGAGCCACAGTATTAAAGGCAACGATTTCCAGTTGATATATAATATATCTTGACATATTATTGATCAAATGCACTGATTTAATCAAGATCGGACAAGAGAGACCCAGGCTATATAGTCCAAAACGTCTTCTCAATAAAGCTAGAATATATTTATTAGCTGGGTTCAGGGTATATCGCAGTCGAGCATTCTGACTTGTGATTTTTTCTTCTTTTCTTTTTGATTATGTGTATACACACACTTAAGCCTTTGGCTTCATTTGCTGGGCAACCGTTTGCGCAAACGTTGGCCATGTGAGTGTGCGTGTGTATCGGTATCTTTATATTGTATCTGAAAGTACACAGCTCACTCTCTCTCTCTCTATCTCGCTCTCTCTCTCGCTCTCTTTCTCTGTCTATGCCTTGCTCTTAATCTCACTCTTTCTTGCGTCTTTCTTTATGGGCAACAACTGCGACAGCAAGTACTGCGTTCAACGTTGCCGACTTCGCATTTTGCTGATGATGTCCATTATTTACAAACATTTTATTTGTTTTTCTTATTTGGCTTGACGTTTCAAAAGTGCCGATGTTTCAAAAGATAATGAATGCTGAATCGCATTGTGTGTACAGAGAGACAGCGAGAGGGGGTCAAACGGTCGACTGTCGGACAGTTGGACAGTTCAGACAATTCAGACAGCTTAAACAGTTAAACAGTCACCGAGCCCCAGTCATAAATGCATAAGTGAGAAGAAAAATACGACCGTAAACCTAGTAAAAAAAGAAATAAATAATATAAAATACGACAGCGAAAAATCCCCAAAACGTGTTACCTTCTTTCGAGGCTACCACAGATACGTGTCTAATATACTCTGTGTACCTAAATGCCCACTTACGTATGCGCTATACGGCTTTGCTGTTACTCGGAATTAGTTGGGGGATTACGGGGCGTATGCGTCAAGATCAGTTAGTAGTAAAGTTAAGTACAGGAAATGGCCAGTTAAAATATGGCAAAGCAATATCAAAGTTGATGCTTTATACAGCAGATGAATACAATTTAAAATAAGTGTGTAGTGTTATAAATCGAAGTAATGCTCAAAATGTTATCGCTATAAATCGAAGTAATGCTCAAAATGTTAGTGCTATAAATCGAAGTAATGCGCAAAAGGTTGTAGTTAAAATTAAAAACAAACGAACTATTGGAAAGAAATACTTGCACAAATCATTTAAGGTTAAAAGGAGTTCTCTGTTAATAAGAGATTGAGAGATTTGTTAAAGTTTTTAAAAATGAATAAAAATAACTATTGGTGAGAAAACTATATAAAAATATAGTATATAGAAATATTTACAAAAATAATTTATGTTTAGAGCAAGTTCTGTATTAAATATTTTGGAAACATTTGATTTTATCGTACTCTATTAGTTTTTTGTATTACGTAGTAGTACTGGTAGTACTCCAAATCTTAACTACATTTAATCTTGATTTAGTTTAATATATAGAAGGGCAGCCAGAATTTAACAAATCACATACAAAATATAGTTACACTTACTGAAATAAGCCTTAGTTTGAAATAGACATACGTTAAAGTATTCAAACTAATTCTCAGTTCAGGCCTCAGCTTTAATCAAATCGCGTTGTCAATTGAGTAAATGAAACTTTTCCAGTCAAGCGAATCAGTTCCCGTTCCAACAGAGAGATTGGTATGTCACTTCTAATCAGAGAGCGCCACAAACCATCTATCTTAGTTGCTCAAATCTAATCTGACAGCCATACAACAGTCACCATCTTCACATCTCCAACATCTATCTGGGCACGTGCAACGTTTAAGGTTTAGCCGTCGCAGCCACATTACAATGAGCGACTATGCAGATCTCAACCCACCAGAGATCCGTAGCTACAAGGTAAAAATGGCCGAGCGCTGCACTACGCACTATTACCATGATGTAGCAATTTCAACTATCTACTTATCATATAGACAGACAGGAAAAAAATGAAGAAAAAAACTCTAACTGAAAATCACGAAGTGAAAACTCATTTCAAGTCACCACAAGTTCAGAACATTTCCAGCAAATGATAAGTAAAGCTGTCATTGCACAAGCGTCAGGGGGCCAAGGGAAACTTCTCCCTGTGCTGTGGAGATGTAGACTGAACGGCGGTGAAAAGACAGAGAATCGTCGTCGTCGTTTTATATATATATTTTTTGTTTTTTTTTTTCGCCTTATGCGCAACTGGTTATACGTATGTTATATTTAAATGTGGCTTTAGCGCAGTAAAATTTTATGATCGATCCAACGACAATATGATCGTCATTATCATTGTAATTATCAGCATTACTTGTTCCACTCCTCTTCTTCTACTTCGCTATGCTGTTGTTGTTGTTGTTACTGTTGTTGTTTCATCTTCATTCGACTGTTATTATTATCGTGATGATCACGTTCCATGCAAAAGGCCGAGAGCCAGAAGCTGAAGCTCCTGTTGCGTAAATCCAGTAAGCAGTCAGTCAGTCATTCGCTCGAACGGGTCGCATCGGGTCTCGGGTCTCTGGTCTCTGGTCTTAGTCTCGGGTTCGAGTTCGAGTTCGACTTCGACTTCGACTTTGAGTTCGTGTTCGGCTACCGAAGAAGAGTCAAGGCTTGCTTGCCTAACTGACTGACTGACTGCCGTTTAGTTCGCTTAGGCTACCAGTTGCATTTGTACGGCTGCCAAATGCTACTACTATCTACATACACATGTATGTGTGCATCTGTGTCTCTCACTCTCTTTGCATGCCTCAGTATGTGTGTGTGTGTGTGTGTGTGTCTGTATCTGTGTGTGTGCATTTATATCGCTACTACTACTGTGTGTGCTGAGCGCTGAGTGCGCCTCGCTTACTGACTCAGTCAGTCAGGTTTTTTAGACGCACAATCTTATCTAACTTGGCAGAGTCGACAACTCCAACGGCGACTGCGACTCGTTTCTCGTTCAGTTTAGTTTCACTTGCCGCCGCCGTTGCTGATAATAAACTACAAAAACAACAACAAAAACAACAACAACTTATAACAAAATTCATAGGAAAAATAAATTAAACAGCAAAAACTAAATAAAAGAAGAAAGTGTAATGAATTGGTAATAATATATACCCTATTTGCAACAGTGTAGTGCTTAAAAATAAAAATAAAATAAATATAAATAATAAATAAATAAAAATATTCAGTTTAAAATATGCTAATCGAATGTGCTTTGCAGTAAATACTTTTTTTAGTCTACAGTTTTTTTTAGCACTGTAAGCATTGTTTCAAATTTTCCAAAGACAGTTTTCAAACATACTCGTATTTAATAATATTCAACACGTTGGTTTCCAAAGTTTTAAGTGCTTTGTAAGCATTTCTTATGGCAAACAAATGGATATGGAAATTTATATTTTTAATAGACGATTATACGAAAAATAAAATAAATATTAAGAAAATATTCGAATTCTAATTTTAGGTTTTGATTTTTAATGTTAACTTCATAGTATGTTTGTGAAAATATATCTTTTAGTTCATTAAACGAAAAATGAAATAAATATTAAGAAAATATTCGAATTCTAATTTTAGGTTTTGATTTTTAATGTTAACTTCATAGTATGTTTGTGGAAAGATATCTTTTAGTTCATGAAACTCTTGTTTAAAGCAATTAGAAAATAATATTTTAAAATTAGCAATTTTGTTTCTTTCAATAACTTTGTGGGCTTAACTCATGTGAACAACACCTGTGAACTGTTACCAACTCCGACCCATGGGATATGTACTCCCAACCAGCTCATTAGGGACAGAGTAAAATTAGGAAAAAGAAACAACAATTTTTATTGGACTTGACGAGCAATTAAGATAAGCCCAATTGAGCCCAATAAGTCGCAAACAATTAACACAACATTTGACTAATTGTTATTTCTACCCCTCTCTCTCTCTTTCTCACCCTCTCTCTCTCTCTCTCTCTCTCTTTCCCTCTCTTGTTATCTACAGCTGAAGGTCTGACGGCATGTGAGTAGCTGAATACAGCTCAATATGCCCACGGATAGCACAGCCAGCGATGGCGGAGGCGCCATCCCAATGTTGCGCGCCTCACGAATGGATCAGTTTATGTCGACGGTGGCCGCTGTGGCAGCTGCGGCAAGTGGTGCTGGCTCCGGAAATGGAGGCGGTGCCACAAATGCGGATGGTTCGGCCAGTGGCGGCGATTCAAGGAATTCATCAGCTAGCAGGATCTCGGCAGCAGCCGCTGCCTACGAAACCCAATTGGCCTACCAACAGCATCTGGCCGCGTCGGGTCTGCACGGCGGTCCGCCCCATCATCGGGAGATTTCCGCCTTTGTGCCGGTGCTGCCGACACGGCAGGCGCTCGAGGCAAAGGCTCGCGCTGGCAGCAACTCCAACTACGAGATCATCGCCATGATGGCGGACAAGCGCAAGGAGCTGGCGCTGCGGGAGGCAGCCGCCGCGGCTGCGATGCTGGGACGTGGCGGTCCACCGGGTGGACCGCCGGGTGTGCCGCCGCCAGGTGTATTGTACGGCCCGCCACCACCACCGCCATATCTAACTGGACCGGGACCGTCGCCAACGGCCGCCGGTAGTTTTCCATTTCCCCCCGGCGCCGCAGCGGCCGCTGCACTGTTTCCGCCCGGTCTGGCGCCGGGCATGCACGCTGGCCTGGACCGGCGCCTGCTGCGCGCTCCCGGACGCGCCTCCCGGCCCAAGAAGCAATTCATCTGCAAGTTCTGCAATCGCCAATTCACCAAGTCCTACAATCTGCTGATACACGAGCGCACGCACACGGACGAGCGGCCCTATTCCTGTGATATTTGCGGCAAGGCATTCAGGCGACAGGACCACTTGAGGGACCACAGGTGAGTGTCTGCCCAGTGTGGCAAGTGTGGCGATTGTGGCAAGGCGGCAACGGTGCTGGAAAGCGATCAGGCAGAGGTAGGCGTGTCTGCTCGCTCGTAATTGCTAGTATGCCTCAAGGCATGCAGCAAGAGGCATGCAGCAAGAAGCAAAAACTTGTAGAAAAGTGGTTTGAGATTTGTTGAGACGCAGCTGGAATACTCTAGGCAAAACAATAGCCAGGTTATTTGAGCAGAGTTTTTTATATTCATTTCAATTCCTTAAAGTCGGTTACTTATTTATGGATCAGATAAGAGAAAAGTTACAGATGATTCTTAAACTACTCTGAAATTATACTCTACTTAAGAGACTTGCTTAGTTTTAGTGGAATATAAGTACTTCATTAAGCTCATCAACTTATTCACGGATTAGATTGGGTATAAGTAAAGTTTATACATAATTTTTTATTTTTTTGAGAGTTTTTTTATAAAGCTTTTTTTAAAGAATCTGCATTTAGTTTTTTTCTATAAATTCTAACTCATTGAGCAGCTTTTGGCTTTTAATTGATTAGAGCAATAATTTGAGATCTTTTTAAAATCCCAAAAATATATATGCAATTTTGTCTTTATATCTTTTATACATATTTTGCATATGTACATCGATAATATCCATTAAAGTGAACAAACAGAGAACCAACAGCTTGACAAAATCAAATGGATTTGAATGTTAGTTATGTGAAGAGCATGCCGCAAAAGACAAAGTTAATTAACTTTGTGGGTTTACACATTTGGGGGCCAGGCAGCAGTTGATGTGACTGTTAGGTGCGGTGTGCGGGGGGGTTGGCGGTATGAGGTACTTGGTACTGAGAACCGGGCAAGAGCAGACAGCAGGTTGGCATTGGCCTTATACCTCATGTGTGTGTATGTGTGTTGGCTTGTCCAATACTTTGTGTGTCTTTTGATCGTTCGGTTTCGGTCCATTTGTCGTTTGTTTGCTTTGCCGCGGGGCTAATTTCTCAGCAACAGCAGCAGCAGCAGGGCAGGGGCAGAGGCAGGGGAAGGGCAGGCAATGGAAGAAGAAAACAGCAAGAAGAATCTCGGTGCGCCTTGAAGCCCCCCGAGCTAAAAGGCAAAATCAAAGGCAGACCCAAGCCGAGAGCTCAAGCCAAGAACCTGTTTTTTTTTACCCGTCGCAGCAGCTGCTGATGTTACTGCTGATGTTGTTGCTGCTGCTGCTGCTGGTTGTTGGTTGTTGGCTGCTGCTGTTGCTGGTCCAACAACAAGTGGACGCCATTTCAAAGATGGCTGCCATAAACATAAAATATATCAGCGCACTTTATCTGCGCCCGGGCAACGAGGGGGCAAGAGATAATGCCTGCCAGTGAAGATAACTGTCAACTTGAGCAGCCAGCTACCAGCTACCAGCTAATAGTAGTTGCTACCAACAGCAACAACAACAAAAATAACGATAACAGCAGAACGCCCACGCAATATGTATTTAAATGTTAACCCCTCGTTTCCCCCCTTGATCACAGGTACATCCACTCCAAGGAGAAACCGTTCAAGTGCACGGAATGTGGCAAGGGCTTCTGCCAGTCACGGACTCTGGCCGTGCACAAAATCCTGCATATGGAGGAGTCGCCGCACAAGTGTCCCGTTTGCAGTCGCAGCTTTAATCAGCGCTCGAATCTGAAGACCCATCTGCTCACTCACACCGATCACAAGCCCTACGAGTGCTCCTCCTGCGGCAAGGTTTTTCGACGCAACTGCGATCTGCGGCGTCATGCGTTGACACATGCCGTGGGTGAGGTCAACAGTGCCGACTATGTCGACGTCGGCGAGGAGGATGAGGCACGTCAGCTGAGTGGCGATGAGGAAGATTCGCTGTTAGAAGTGGACTCGCCACGGCAGTCGCCGGTGCACAATCTGAACGAGAGCACCGAGAAGGATGAGGCGGATCGTATGCGTCTAAAGAGAAAGGCCACCAATAGCAGCAACAACAACAACAACAGCAGTACAAGCTATGAGCATGAGGACAGCGAGGAGGAGTTCGATGACTACGACGAGGAGGAGGAGCTGCACGAAGCGGGCGCTTTAGATCTCGCCGAGGATGAGGAACTGGAAGCGGAGACCGAGGAGGAGAAGGCCGAAGTGGCGCTGGTAGCGGCACGCTTCAAGACGGGTCAAGTGGGTCACCCAACCCCATCCGCTGTGCCTGCTGTGTCCAAGCCGGAACGTCAGGGCGTCACCCATTGCCATCACGAGGGTGGCGAGACTTACACGATGCGGCCACATGGTGAGCGACCGCTCGAGGAACTGCCACAGCCAGGGACAGGCTTAATTGGTGCCAGTTTCATGCCTAGTTTGCGTTATGCACCACCGGGTGGGGCGCCACATCATCACTTGCTGCCGCCGGCTAATAACGATCCCTATTTGCCCATGTTGCATGTGCGTCGCGATCTGCACCATAAGACGCTGAACCTGAGCAAGACGTCGGCAACGGCAACGGCAACACCACCCAGCATTGTGGCCAGCAACAGCAGCAGCAGCACCACACCCACTGAGCCATCGCGACCACCATCGCAGCCGTTGCACTCACCGCACGAGGCAATGCCCAGTTTCCTGGGATCGATACCGGTGCGTAAGCGGATATTGCCGCCACCGCCGCCGCTGGTGGAGCTGGTGGATCATCATCATCATCATCATCATCAGCGTTCGTATCTGGAGAATCCGAGCATTTATGCATTGAATATGTCACGACATCCGCCCAGACAGCTCTTGTGCAAGCCTCCGGCAACGGAAACGTGTCCTCCACCGGACAAGGATGCAACTGCAGCAGTGCCAAACGCAACAGTTGTTGTTGCAGCATCACCACCAGTGCCACCAACAGTTGTAGCTGTGGCACCAGCAGCTGCTGTGGCACCAGCTCCAGCTCCAGCTCCACCTCGACGCACTGGCTTCAGCATCGAAGACATAATGCGTCGCTGAACCCTATTCATTTTTAGTACACTAAGCAAGGATTCTTTCCAGGCGTGTGGCATAGATCCTAAAGAGCCTCTGCCCCCTGATCTGTGGCAGTTTGAATGCTACTTAGCCATAAGTGCACTTTTAGTACATTTTAGTACAATGTCTTTCGGCAAGGCAATAAGCAAATTACTTTAAATACTGTTTAAGCTAAGTTTTATTATATCGTTTATTGGAAGAAGTGCCACAAACTGTTGTTGCATTTGACATCATGCTTTTAGTACATTTAGTACCATATTGCAGCATTGCATTGTGCTTTTAGCACATTGGCAGTAAGCCTATTTTTAGTAGTTATATACATATATATATATATACATATATATAGATTGCGAGAGTCTATCCATTTAGTTTAGGCCAACACTAAGTGTTGTTTGTTTCTGTAGCTGTCTAGTGAGTAATTAAACAAAATCAATACTAAATACGTGTATACAAGTCTAATTTATGTTTTAATGTTTAAGACAATCTTGACGGCAATCATGTGGATCAAGAAACACGCTGGGGGATATAAAGGTTGAAAGTAAAAGTAGTTTAGAAAAAAACAAAAACAAAAAAATATATCGAGAAGCGAGAAACGAGAACTCGGCCGTACATTCCAGTTAAATTTTTATAGTTTTAATTTATAGCAATCTTAAGTATATTTTTAGAGTTTAAGTGCAGCCTTCTAGCATTCCATGGTCTTCCTTGAATTTTAAATGACTTGAAAACAAAAACAAAAAAAAAAAACAAAAAAATCAACTACAATTGATAGAAATATACATATTTACATATATATATATTTAAATAAAGTTTTGCATTGAAATTAATCGTTGAGATTTTATTTGTGGGGTTTCACTCGTGAATCACTTGGGCTATCCATCCATCATTGAAGCGACGAACGATCCCAGCCATTATAAAGTTGTACTTCAGGCACGTTTTGCTATAGACAGTTTTGCGGTTTGTTTTGTTATTTGTGGGCGGGGCAACGCCCTAAACATGGCCACGCACAATTTGGTGCTGGAATCAAGGCAGATTCCAAGTGCCGCACTCGAACACGTAGAAAGTTCAATTAATGTGGCACGTAAATTGCTGTCATCAGCCAACTGCGGGCATTTTCAGGAAACTTTTTTTTAGGTGCCAGACCCATGAGCGAACCCTCTCCTCGCCACTCTCCCCTTTCCATACGATGACATCAATCGGCGAACTAAGTACACATAAAAAAGAAATAATTATTTGAGCAGAGATGAAACAATGATGATATCACCAGTTGCCGCCGCACGTGAGCCGCCTGCTGAAAATCTCTGTGCGAATGCGTGAGAATGTCCACAAATTGGCAAAGTTTGTCGAAAGGAAGTCGCCAAAGTCGTATGAAATGAATTCATAAATAGTATTTTTCCTAGCGCAAACAAATGACTCATAATATAGTATGCGATTCAACCCGTGAATAATAAGTAAACAGATTTTGCAAATACATAATATTTGGTTGATCAAAATTAATTTTTTTTATTAGTCAAGCAGAGCAGGAACTTTTTTCAAACGGAAATAATTCATTTAGCAAGCCTAAAAGTATGCAGCAATTAAATGCATGCTGAAAGGCGATCATCTATTAAAATTGAATAGATTAGAATGCAGAGCATGTGGCTATATATAATTAATGAACACAATTATTTAAATGAAAATGTTTGATCTATTGTAAGTGTATATTCGAGCCGACACGCACCTTTTTTGCACCAGAAAAATTAACCAGCCAATATTTCATTATATCTATATTAAAGCCTAAAGGTATGCAATACAAAAGTCACTATATGTAATGCGCACAGTGGAAAGTTTCCACTGGAAACGCAAAGTGGTACCTAAATTGTAATATGTTTTAGTTTGTATTTATTTTAATCATAAAACATCAATATTTTTGTGAGTTAATTAAAATTTCTGTAACCGTCATTGGATCAATAAAATTCCTATTTGCCTCTTGTGTATGCTCTAAATTATTATCCATTATTTAAAATATTAGTTAATATATTAATATGATTACCGTTTATTTTTGATAAAGTAAATAAGTAAATTAGAGCCTAACATATTTATAAATGTTATTCTAATTTAAATACACTTAATAGATATATTTTTACTTGCAGCAGAAAGAGTTTGTTCGCATTTACACCAACATTATGTTAGCGTAACATTAACACGAAGCACAATAATATACAACAGACAACAAACTGTTACTTTAACAGTGAGCATTAATGCTCACTAACATTCGGGCGACTGTTAAGGTAACAGTATTCAAGCAACAGGTAATGATTCAAAAGCTGTAAAAGCTGTTGCTGCTGTCATTTCGGCCAAGGTAACTTCCACAGACGCGCTCAGCAAAATGAAAAGCAACAACAACTACAACCACAACCAACAACAACTGACATTTTGGCATTGTCCACTGAGAGCGAACTTTAAACATTTGTTGGGTTCGCTCGCTCGCTCGCAAAGCTTCTCCAGCGGCTGTTTTGACTGTTTTTGTCTGCACAACTTTTGTGGTAAGAAGTGCAAAAGAGATAGAGAGAGATGGAGAAAGAGAGAGCGAAAGAGAGAGGGCGCGCGCGCAATTTGAACTGACTTGTGAAGCTTCTCTGGGCGACTCAGTGCGCTCAGAAGGTGAACGACGACGCTGCCGAGCAGACGTGTGCGCGCTAAACGCTAAACTAAATTTTGATCTCAACGGTGCTTTTTTTCTCTCTCTCTCTCTGTTGTCGGACACACATATAGAAAAGTTTGTGTGAGTGTGTGCCTGTGTGTGTAAGTGTGATCGCCGTTGACCGCGCCTTAAAGCCAACGAAAAGCGTCATTTCAATAAACCAAACACAAAGCGATTAAATATGCAAAATATATCAAAAGTCAACCAGAAAGTGCAACAAGTGCTGGGAAATGTGAAGAAAACTTGCCAAGCTCCGAAAAATACTCGTTGAAAGCAGCAAAAAAAGTGAGGTTGTGTTGGTGCGTCGCTTGCTTGCTGGCCAACAAACTATTACCAAACACACCAATACCAATGCCAATACCAACACACCGAATACGAGTGGCAACAACTCCAAACCCCAAAAAAAGCCACACAAAGCAGAAGCATAAATACAAATACAAACACAATCAACTTTAAGCTGCCTTTTGAAGTTGGCTTCAAAAATACTTACTTATTTTGTTGTAATTAGAACCAGTCATCATGGCTGCAAACCGTTAAAAAGAAAATATATTTAAAAAAACCAAGCTTATTAGTGCGAATATAATGCAACGGCGCGTAAAGATTCAACTCCGAAGCTGAATCCGAATCCAAAAACGATCTAAAAAACATCTTTGCGAGTGTTGCACGCTTTCATGAATGCCTAATTGCCCAACAACAACCATTCGTACTATCGCTATTTTTTGTGGCCAATAAACTCAACAAACTTGCCAACTGCATGCAGCTCAGCCAGCCGCAACAGCGACGGCGACGGCGACGCTGGCAGCGCTGCTCGCTGTTCGCTGCTTGCTGCAAATTGCTGTTGCACTTGCCCTGCTGTTGTTGCTATTGTTGCTGCAGCTCTGCTTAGCACAACATTCCCTGCCAACTTCCGTTTTGGCCGGCATTACATTACCAACAACATTTGCTAGTTACTCACTTCCCATTGGGCTCGAACCGATGACGCGTTGCTTGCCTGGGTATTGTTGTTGTTGTTGTTGGTGCTGTTGCTGTTGCTGTTGGTTTATTAATGCCCCTTCGTACGTAAAAGGAAGTGAACATTATCAATCAGTTATATGGCGTAAAATGCTTGGCTTCTTGGCCCAAGACAAAGCGATATTTGTGGGGCTTACATTCTTAGATAAAAAGACTCAAAAGCGATAAGCGATTTGGCAAATGTCGCGTAATGCTGGCTATTTTTGAGCGAGAGAACTAGAGAAAGAGAGAGCAAAGTTATAGCTCTTTATTAGAATATATATTATATGTGGGCTGATATTAGTCATTCAGAAACAATGCAAATCGCGTGCTCATCTTTGCATCGAGATAGAGAGAGAAAAAAACTGAAATGCCGGCACAACAAACAATTACAAATGACTAATAAGCATTTAAAGCTAGTGAACAATCTGTTTGTACGCCCTGTTGAGATAGCCATTGTATGCATATTACCAGATTTCAAAAACTCTCCTAATTATGACCAACACACACTAAGAAATTGTACTATATCATTAAGCCAGCCAGAAGAGATTGAGGCAGACGCATTCCTTTTATTTATGAGATAATTAATTGTAGCAGCTAATTGGAAAAAGTTCAGAGGTTTTCGACCATGTTCAAATGTAAAATCAAAGTTGTTTGCTACAATCAGGTCATGTCGCTGGTGTTAAGCTAACGAACCTAAGAGTTGATTATCAACTTCTATTATTAAAAATGTATATTAATATTCAAACACTAAGTTGAATTAGTTTATATATAAATGCGTAAAACTAGGCAAAAGATACATGAAACATGGTCTATTAATTTTTGCAAACATGAAACTGGAAAATTAACTTCATTTTTTGGGCTTTGTTCTGAAAAGATTTCTTTCAAACTAGAACAGATAACTCACAAAGTAAAAAGACAGAGCAAAACTACTTTTCAAATGTAATTTAAGCAATTCAAATTAAAAGCTAAAGTGCGAAGTGCAATTTAGTAACTAACCGATTTATTTTGAGAACTCATTCACTTACGTATAGATTCTCAGCCTTGGCTATCTAATCATCTATGCTATCAATATTTATTGTTATCTTACCAATTTGATGGGTGACTATCAAGAGTTAACGCAATAAGAGAATACCACAATAAACTAAAGAGTAGCTACAAACCTTCATGGCTTATCGAAATTACTCAAAAGTGTTAGGGAGAACTTTAGTCATCGTTTTTAGCCAGTTAACTATGCAAAATGCATTCCTCGGCATACGCCAAAATGGCCAAACAAAGCTAATAAACTCGTAAAAAGACGGACAATAAACTTTTGAATGCACTTTAGTGCAACGCTCTGACTACAGCTAGAACAACAACAAGTTTGAATTGCTTGCAGCTGAGTCACAGATGCATCGATAATAACGCACGAGGCCCCAAGACTCTCAAGCATACACTGCGAAAGAGCGGGACAAGTGCGTAAGGCATATCAATCATATGCAATTAAGGAAAATAAAAATGTAATTTAATTTTAAATTTAAATATGAATAATCTATCAGTTTTGGGCTTAACAACTTTTTGGCTAATTCCATTAAATACATTACATATGACTGCAGATTTCGCTCAGTGTATAAGCCGCGCCCGCAGCTCAAGAACAGAACAAAAAGCTGCTTTGCATATGCCATAAATAAAATGTTGAGTTTGTGGGGGGAACTCACCCAAAAGTGAAGTGAAGAAAACTCTCGGGTGGAGATAGTCTTGGAAATGCTTTCTATCTTTCCACACACACGTAGCACACACAAAATGAAGACAAAAACAAAAAATATCAACAACCAAAACTACCTTTTGCGGTGCGTGCGACGCTAACAGTTGCCCCCCTCTCAGTCCCCCACACTCTGTCCGTCTGTCTTTCACAGTCTTACTCTGTCTCTCTCTCCCTCCTCTCTCTCTCCGAGTAGGGCTCGCTTTTAAGCTTGTTCTCTCTTGCGCTCATGGCATGAATGAAATGCCTACACATTTACAGTTACTTTACAGCACACCGCGTCGTGAAGTCACAACAACAACAACAATAGCAGCAGCTGCCCCAACTGCTTTACATTTTGTTTGGCTCTTTCTCCTCGCCTTTCGTTGTTGTTGTTGTCGCCGTCGCTCGCACAACACTCGTCATAATACTAAATGCAAGTAACCCGCTCAGTCGCTGCTAACGGTTCTTTGCGTACGGACGTGTTTTCGTGTACATTTATAATTGTACACATATACATACAAATTTATATTCTTTTGCTGTGTTCGGGTTGGGGGGGTGCTCAACACGACCCACTGAGTGTGTGTGTGTGTGTGTGTTGTATTGTTTTGTGTTGTGGCGGTTGAGTGTGTATTGGTATTTTGTGTGTTTTGGTTTTGAAACGTTGTCAAGTTGCGACTGTGTGTGTGTGTGTTGTCTTTTAGGGCCAGTTTGTGGCGGCTTATCAGAGATTGGTAACAATGCCAGAGACTTGTGGCTTTCAAACAATATGAAACTCCGTATTAACAACTTGAAAAAAACTGTGAAAAATCATGTGAAAAACTAATTTTAATTTTGTGTATTACGTGTGAAAATTACTGAGGAAATTTAATAAATTCACGAAATGTGTAATTATTAAATTAAATAATTAAAATTAAAACACAATAACTATGAAACAAAAGTAAAAAATAAGATGAAAAGTTAAATTAAAAAATAAATATAAATTACTTAAGTTTGCATGGAAATAAAATAATAGTATTCAAAATACATAATTTGAATATTTAATAAAATAATTTACAGCAAAATTAAAATTGAATGAGAATCGATAATCTAAAACTGAGTTAATTTTTGTAAATTACCTTTTAATATATTGTTTCTTTACATTCCTTAGCTAATTATTAATATTTAAGTGCCACCGCAATGTAAAAAAAACATGCTTAAAAATAATAAAATTAGGTAAACAGAGCAATCAAAAAAATTAACATCAAATTGTGTAATTCTACACGTCAAAGGTCGATAATAAAAAACAATGCACAAATGACGCTGCAACGACATAGAACGAACTTCCTACAACAAAATAGAAATAGTTGCAACAATCAAACTAAAAGCTGCCACCCGCCGACTGCCCCCAAATGGGCAAACATATGCACAATACTCCTCCTCTGTCTGCTGTTGTCGTCCTGCCAACTGGGTCGTGCACAACAACAACAGCAAGCTCGACAGGGGCAGCAACAACAACAACAGCCACCCCATTCGGAGTTGGAGTCAGTTGAACTGCTGCAGGACGACAACGATATCGAATTCGCCAGTCTCGATGGCGCCACACAGCTGCTGCCAGCAACTCGTCACAGCGTCGACGCCACAGCGGCGCCACCATCGACGCCAGCCCTCCTGCTGACATCATCATCATCCTACACGGAGCTCCAAGGCGGCGAGATTCTCAGCGAGCGCATATTGCGGCTCAGCGAGAGCCCGTACCTAGCACGCGATGACCTGGAGGTGGTGCGGGGCGCTCGTCTGACCATCGAGCCGGGCGTGACCGTTGAGTTTGCCCCCACCAAGGGACTCAAAGTGCGCGGCGTGCTACAAGCTGTGGTAAGTGTTAACAAATAGAAAAATCAGTAAATCGCATTATACCCTGTAAGAAGTGGACACATAATGGGTGAGCTGATTTTGTACTAGTTTCGGTAACAGGTATTTGGAAGACTTGGAAACACTGAATAGATTTGAGCAATTGAAATTCCAGCAGAAAATGTTTTGTACTTTTCCACCTAAAGTCATCGAATTTTATACATTTATGATATTTTTAATATAATTTTAATAATAATACAACAGGATAAAAATCAATATTTTTGAGCAACTTATTTAAAAACAATTCATAGTTAAAATATATTTTTATTATAATGGACTTGTATATCTATTCATTTTGCATCCACCTGAGCATAAATTATATTCTATAGATGTGTATTTTGAAGCATGCAAATATTTAGATTTGTTTAGATATTTATTCTAAAAGAAATAATCTGCTAGAATGAGTTTTAAGGTCACAGTTTGAAAATTAGATTTATTGACTTCGTATTTAGCTACAAAAATTTCATTATATTTTCCATATTCTACAATAAACTGTCACAATGTGTTTTAAGGTCACAGTTTGAAAATTGTATGGTATGTAGAAATTGATCAACATGACATTTAGCTGTTTGCCTCACTGACTACTGCGAATGATTAAGCGCTGGCGGGGCACCTGTTACCATCAGGCAACAGGTGAGTAACATTAATGATAGATAAGCGCATAAAGTATCGTAGCATTCACAGTGTTATTTTTTTTCTGTTGACTTTCGAGCTGATAAGATTGCGAATATTGGATTTAAACAGTTAGATAAGAGTTTCATATGCGTTCCCTTAACGCTTGTAGTGCTGAGCAAAGAGCATGGAGTATTAGGTGTTTGTTGTAGTGGTAGGTTAGGGCATCGGCGCATGCGTTGCTCCATTTGGGTTCGCCCATAAATGGGTCAAAGCAAGTTCACTTCCTCAATGAATCGTTGCACGATTCCAATTAGAGCAACATTCACCGACGACATCAAAGAGGAAAGTCTTTAAGCTACTGCTACTCCGATTGCTGCATTTACTTTGCATGTCCGCTCTGGCAGCCCCTCCACCCATTGCCCGCTGCCTTCCGTTCCGCTCCGTCACTTAATCAGCGGTCAGGGGGTCATTAAGGGTTAATTAGATTTAAGTGAACGACGTCCCATAATTGATGTTTGTTTGTATTGCACTGGAAATGAGCAAATTAGCTCGCGCCTAGCTTGAACTCAAAGCTATGCTGCCAAAATACAAAATGAGATACAAAGTTTACATTTTTTTTTTACTAATTTCCTATGCAAAATAACTTGTGAATCATCGAACTCATCTCTTGACCTGGCAGAGTTTGCTCTTGTCTGGTTTTAATTAAATACAATTGTCGAGTATTTTGTGTCTGTGGGCGTTGCTGCTACCAGTTTCGAGCATCATCTTCATCATGATGATCGTGATCATGATCAAACATCGTACGCATAGGTGTTAATTAACTCGAGAAATTGAGACAAGCCATATATACTACCTAAGCTCATTGGAAAACGAAGGCCAAGCGAGGCGAGAAAATATCATAATTGAAAAAACGAGAAAAATAAGTAAAACTACAAAAATTGGCCACTCAGCGCACTTGCGTGTGAGAGGCCAAAAGCTGAGGTGAAACTGAAAGATAATCAGTAAAAATATCGCAGTTGCTAATTATACGAAACTTACTCACAATGTAATTTATGCGGAAAATGTGGAAAAGTGCTTTCGGCTTTTCCATCTTCAACACGGAACTTTCACATCTCATTTGCATTCTAGATACTTTCTGATGAGATTTAGAATGTGCTGCATGTTGGCTGAAGAGTTCTATGTATGTCTGAGAATATCTATTTACAGTTTTATTTTAAAATTAATACAACATATTTAATTAAAATGTTTATAAAATCAGATTTCTTCTTAGACGAATAAATAATTTCAATGAAACATTAAAAATGCAAATTAAATTCAAGTTCGAAAATTCCTTTTACATCTATTCTTGCAGGGCACTCCCACAGCGCGTATTGTGTTGAAATCACAAAGTAACACTGCCAATTACAAAATGGAGCTGCCAGATGATCAGGAAAAGGGCATCCGATTGGTGGATGGACCAACACCCGTCGAGGGACGACTTCAGCTATTCCACAAGGGCGCCTGGCGTTCAGTTTGCTCCAATTCAAGAAAGTAAGCCATCATTTTTCAAGGCTTGATTTTATTGTTGATATTTTGAAGATGCAAATTTAAACAAGTATTGGAAGTTGAGTTTTTCTATTTACTATTTATGTTAACGACAAAATTATTCGATGATCTTCTAGCTATTATATTCTGTTCATATTCCAATTACTAATATTTATCTATTTATTTTTCTAGCTGGACAATGGCAGACTATGCTGTGGCCTGTAAACAGATGGGCTACAAGGGTGGTCGTTTCTGGAACTGGGTGGAACGGACAGCTGGCATCTATCCCCGATTGCTGTACGAGCAGCCCAAGTGCCGAGGGGTTGAGAATAGTTTGCTGGACTGTGCGTGGAGTTCACGGCAAATGGGCGCCGGATCGTGTGACTACCACAATGATTTGGGTATTCAGTGCCAGCCGGTGCACTCGGAGCCACTGGCTCACTGGGGTGGTCTGTACTTTGACAATGCGCCCTCGACCAAATCCCTGGGCAAGGATAACACAGTATACGCCGCTCAATCCGAATCCCGTCTCAAGTATGTGGACATTATTCGAGCGGGTAACGGAGCTGGCTTCAGTGCAAAGTCGGCGCTGGAAGTTCAGGGATTGCCACCGCAAATGGAGCACGTGGTGATCAGTCATTCGGCGTACACAGGCTTCAACAGCACGCGACCCTGGGCGGGCTTCCAGCTGCAGAATGTGACGGTGCGCAAGAGCAACGGCATCGGCATCTTTGTCAACTCCAGCCAGGGTCTGGTGCAGCTCGACGGCTGCTCGGTAGTCGATAATGCAGCTGATGGTGTCAAGTATGTGGGTCACGATTTGCGGGGCACGGAGCGTACAGATCGGGCTAGCATCTATGACTTTTGCACACTGCCCACGACATCGGGTCAGACGTATCCCATCTCCCTGTCCTACACACAGAAGTACTATGCCGGCTCGGCAAAGGAATGCGGCAAATACTTCTTCACTCGACCCGGATACTATCTCACCCTGCACTTTGAGCACTTTGTGCTGCAGCAGAACGAGACGGCCACCGTGGAGATATTCGATGGTGCCTCCACCAACGATCGCCTGCTGTTTCTGTGGCATGCGAGGAACTTTACACGGCCACAGAGTGTGACCAGCACAAGGGATAAGATGTTTGTGAGAATCCGCGCGGATGCACGTCGCGAGTTGAATGGCTACTTTAGAATCACCTCGGGTGACTCTGTGGCCTACGATCTGCGGCTCGTGCAGTCCACCGTTGAGGATAATGGTGGACGTGGCGTGGCCATCGATAATATACGCTCCAAGCTGCACGTTCATGCGAGTTCCGTTTCCGGCAATGGTCATGTTGCTGGAGTGCATGTGACCAGCGGTGCGGGTGACGTCAACATCACCAGCAGCAACATTAGCTTTAACAATGGAGCCGGCGTCAACATCACATATTATGGCGGAAATCGGAATATCTCCCGCTCGGCCATCAGCTCGAATCGTGGCTATGGATTGGCCACTTGGCTGAATCACACCACCGATGTAGAACGCATTGAGTATATACCCTTTAATCAGACCACTGTGGTGGAGTACTCACAGATTGGTGGCAACCTGGAGATGGGCGTCTTTCATGGCAACTACTGCCAACCCATTTGGGTAAACATCACGGGGAATAGCTTCAATGGCAGCCAGCAGAACGACATCTTCATCGAGTCGTGCTACCAGGCCACGGCGAATGGTCAGCCGAATATGCAGCTCCAGCTGGGACACAATATGTTCAAGTACAGCCAGGCGAATGCCATCTATCTGAGCCCCGCCCTCAATCTGCACGGTCGCATCGAGTACAACATGTTTCGGTTCGGTGCCTATGGCTGCATTTATGTGAACAACGATTACATCTACCAGGAATTCAACTATCTGCCTGTTAAACTGATCATTCAGAGCAACTACTTTATGCGCAACAGTGGACTCCATGTCGTATCCCTCGCTGTGTCCCCCTCCAGCCGGACCGAGGTACAGTATATACTCTTCACGCGTAATTTCGTTAAGGGCAACAATATCACGGAGGCCTTTGGACCGCTTATCGCCGGGAGTGAGGGCAGCGATGGCGCCGGACGTTTGAATCCTCGTTCTCGAGTCGCTGCTCCAGTTGTGGTCGGTTCCAGCAATGTGGACATCTTTCGTAACATATTACACAACTTGGATTCGGCTTATGAGATTGGCTCCCAGCTGACGGATCAGAGTCAGATCATCAATGCCACCTGCAATTGGCTGGGACACACGGACGAGAATCGCATCTATGCAAGGCTCTTCCATCGCAACGATCGCTACAATCTGGCCAAGATTAACTATATACCCTATCTGCTGCACAACTCGAATCCTGGCTCCACTGCAATGATCACCGTTTCCACAGTAGTCCCTCGTTTCTTTCACGAAGGTACCGACGTAATTGGTGGCGAGGTGGACGGTCAGGACATGGTGCCAGCGGGCACCTACACTGTGACCAAGGACATCAACATACGGCCAGGTGGCAAGCTCATCCTGCAACCGGGCACAACGTTGCGCTTTGAGCCCAGTGTAGGCATGATGGTCGCAGGCAAACTGGAGGCGCGCGGTCGCCGTCCTGACGACATACTCTTCACCCTGAAAAGGGAGACCATCATTGGGGAGCACAACGATACGGAAACGATTGATTTAGACACTGAAACGGAGGCCATCGATATGGAGACGGAGATGATGCCCGCAGATGGAAAGCCGCGGGTGCCAGTGCGTCTGGTGGGTGGAGCGGGTGCTCATGAGGGTCGACTACAGCTGTACCTGAAGGGTCGCTGGGGCACCGTCTGTGACTATGGCTGGAATGTGCTGAATGCGGCTCTCGTTTGCCATCAGCTGGGCTACTCCCTCAATCCTATGGACTGGAGACTGCTGCGCTCGCAGCTACCCAATGCGGGCACCTCCGAGGATGTGCTTGTGGCAAATGTGCGCTGCACACCACACGATCGCGACGTGACCAAGTGTCGGGCGGAGTACGACTTCGAGAACAGCTGCAGTCATGAGAACGATGTCGGACTGCGCTGCTACGAGGGCGCCTGGGCAGGAGTACGTTTCAGCATGCTGGCGGAGCGTGCTGATCTGCAGTACGTGACCGTGGAGAAGGCGGGCCTGTTTGACTACACCACCAATGCCTTTAAGCCGGCGGTGCAAATGGATCATGCCCGTCACAATCTGGAGAACGTGCGGGTGGTTAACAATTTACAGGATGGCCTGGGCATCATCTATGCGGACATCTATGCTGGGAAGTCAGTGAACAATATTAAGAACTCTGAGTTCTCAGGGAATCGCGGCAGCGGCATCAGCTTCAAGCAGCTCGACTTTCGCATCTCCGGCTCTATTATCAAGGATAATCGTGGCAGCGGCATCTCCCACGACGCAGTGATTGCCTCGCTGGATCAGAAAGAGATCGGCGGCTGGTTTAATATGGCCAGGGACTTTAATGCTTACGACACGGACTACGATCCGTATCTGCTGCCCCATGAGATCTCGAACATTGATCTGGGCACCTTTGAGCACAAGTACATACGTACCGAGGAGCTGCTCGGCCAGTCCGTCAGTCGCAAGATTGTGGTACAGTGTCCAGCCGGCTATGTCATTGGCATACAGCTCCTTAATCCCATACATAATCTATCCACGGAGAGCATTAGCATTTTGAATGCCCGCACGGAGAACATACGCAGCGATCTGTGGCAGGTGAAACGTGATCTGAATATTTTCCCAGCAACCAGCAGCAGCTATGGCATTATCATCTACTACGAAAGTGGCTTACAGGCTCTGGGCGGCGCTGTGCTCATGCTCAGCACAGTTACGGCACCCGTGCAGAACGTACGCAATCGGATTGTAAGCGGAGCGGTGCCCACATTAACCATACGCTCCACCAAGATACAAAAGAATCAGCGCGGCATTACGGGATATTACTATAATCGATATATCGGAGACAATGGAGAGTATTATCTGCGCAAGGCCAACGAGTCGATAAAGCTAATCAACTCGGAGCTGAGCTTCAACGAGCGTGAGGCCATCCTCATCAAGTCACCCTTCTGGGATGTCATCTCGAGTAATCTGTCAGAGGTCACCCTACACATCAATAGTTCGCTCATCAGCCAGAATGGCTTTGGCATACGCCAGATGTCCAAGGATTTGCGCTCGTCCAATAATCTGTTCCATTATGTGATTCAGGACAGCACTGTGGAGCAGAATACACATGGTGGCTTCCAGGTGGCTCTACCCTATGTCTGGCAATACAATGAGAACTTTACGCACTCAATTTACTTTGGGAACAGCACCTGGCAGCGCAATCGCAACTTCCACATAGGTGTCTTTGGCCACTATACGGTCTTTAATATAACCTCAAATGTATTCCGGGAGAATAACTGCCCCGGTGCCCTGATAGCTTTAGATGGCATGGAGAAGCGTCTTCGCTTTGATAACAATCGCTTCGAGGCGAACAGTGCCAGATTTGTACTGCTCTTCAAGGCGGACAGCCTTAGCGAGATCATTGGCCAAGTCCCGGCCAGCATTGAGTACAACACCTTCAAGGGCAACAACATTGTCACAATGATGGCCGACTATCGGCATTATATGAGAGCCGCCCGACGTGTTCGCAAACAACATCGGTTGCCCAGCGCAGTCATCCGATTGGATGGTGTGCAGAATGTGAAACTCTATCGGAATCTCATTGCTGACAATGAAATGGATTACAATTTGGTAGCAGGTGTGAGATCTGCGCGTTTGAACAACTACTTTTATGCAGCGGAGAATTGGTGGGGTTCCAGGGATGCCGCCTACATTGAGTCGAAGATCTTTGGCTTTGACAACTGGAACGATCATGCTGACGTCATCTATCAGCCCTTCCTCATCGAGGATAGTTACGATGCGAGCGTCTCTGTGGTGGCACCACTTAACGAGGACGTCAACCTGGCCACCTATCGCGGAGGCCGCGTCTATCGGGATCTCACGCTGCCCAAACAGGCGACACCCTACTATATAGCATCGGATATAACCGTTATGCCGGATACTACGCTGACCATACAACATGGCGTCACGCTGGAGTTTGAGCCGAATGTGGGCATCTTAGTGCTGGGCACCCTAATTGCTACTGGCTACAAGGAGTCACCAATTGTTATGCGTCCGTACAGGAATGCCACCAAGGAGTCCCTAGTTCAAGCACCGCCACTCCGCAAACGTGCCCTCGAGGATATGAGCGCTGCCCTCACCGATTTTGACTCCATACGCCTGTGCACGAGTGCCAGCAACTGTACGGGAGATGCGGATGGTCTGTTTGGCCTGAACGAGGGCTTTCTGGAGTACTTCAATCACACGACACTCCAGTGGGTGCCCATTTGTGATGGTCGGTTCACGGAACGCAATGCGCAGGTCGTTTGCCGAGAGCTGGGCTATGATCCGCTCAATGTGTACTATGGTCACGACAGGCGCATTGAGTTCCACACCAATTCGCTGACACGCATCTGGTCCTGGGTGCAGCCCCTGGAGTGCCGTGGCGATGAGGAGCGCATGGAGGACTGTTCCGAGCGTCTAAATGGACAACTGTACGGTCATCGTCACGAGTGCCGCTGGGATGACGTCTTCGTCTTTGTCAGCTGCAATGGCATTGCCGACGATGATGTCTACTGGGGCGGCATTCGGTTCGCCAACTCCAAGTTCGAGGAGATTCAGTACGAGCATCGGTTGCATAACACACGCTCCCATGGACAGCAGAAGCAGCGCGAGAGCCAGCTAGAGTTTGTACGCATCGAGCAGGCGGGCATTCTGCACAATCACAAGGCAGCTGCCATTCAGGCGATCCACAAGAATCCCTCCATTAGCTCTGTCAGCATTGCGAACTCTGCCAACGATGGCATCAACTTGATAGCGCCCAGTGGCAAACTGAACCTCAACCATCTGAATATCAACAGGACTCTCGGTACGGGAATCAGCATTGTCTCCCTCAGTGGAGAGGGTCGCGATAGCGATGAGTCTAGCTTTACGCCGCTCATGAAACTGGATTTGCCCTACAAGCTCTTTTCGCTGGTGGACATCTGTGATCCCCAGAAAGTGCTGAGCATCGAGGAGCGTATGCTGGTCTACTACAAGTATGACAATAATCCCGTTAACTGCGTCAAGATCTTCACCTCGGCTTTTCGCGCCAAGCCCATTGGCTTCCGACTGCTGCAATCAAATCTGTTCAATCACTCAAAGCTTTACGGACGCACCGACTTCATTAAGCTCTACGACGGAGATATCTATAATATTACAGCCACGTATCTGGGCAAAATTGAATCGGATACGGACAATCAGCGCTCCTTCTTTAAGACCAAGGGTCCGACGTTGAGTTTGCAACTGGTCGCTAGTGGCGCCCCAGAGACACACGGCTTCATAGCAGAGATAGTTACGGTGCCCATTTCCACTTTGGGACAATGTAAGTCTTGTAGCAACTCCTTGTAAACTTTATGCTCACTTCCCGGTTATGCTTTCAGATCGCGATGCTCTGCACAACATAACGGATAGCCACATCTCGGGTGCTATGAAGGGTGCCATTAGCTATGCATCGGCGGGTGAGGTGACACCAACGTTAACGCTTATCGGCAACCGCATCGAGAGAAACTGCAAGCAGCTCTATGGCAATTTTTCAACGTGCACCTCGGCGCTCAATTTGGATGTGCAGAACATGAATTCACTTTACTTTATGGTTAGTCTTAAATCTTAATCTAATTTGATTTATCGGACTGCTTACATATCTGTTCTATTTGCACAGAACAATCTGCTCCTTGAGAACCAGGGAGGTTTACGCATACGTGCGGATTCCCGCGGCACGGCGACCTCATTGCGTGGTTTCGTCCATTATAATCTTTTTATGCGGAATCGAAATCGACCCGCTCTGTTTGTGGAGGGTCGACAATCATCGCCGTACCAGGAGGTCGAGCTGTATCGCAACTACTTTGCCCAGAACATGGCGGGCTACGAGGAGGTCATTCGACTCTGCCAGGTGGTCTCCAACTTTAGCCACAACTATGTCCACAGCAATGTAGGCGGACGCATTATGGAGGTGTCCGGATTTGAGAAGGTGCGACTGCAGATCTACCAGACAACGGCGCATAATGGTTTCTATAGGTAACTTTATTTCTTTAGCTTTATTTAAGTGGCGCCTAATATGTGTTTAATTTAGGAATGTGGCCACCAACTGGATGTCGCGAGCCACCATTGTGGCAGGTACTGCGGGTCAACAGTACGTGGACAACATATTCGAGAACTATGAGAATGACTACGAGCTGCTGACAGTCAATAACTCGATGTAAGTTTTGCCTAGCTTAAATGTTGCTAATTGTTACAATCAATTAAGCCCAACAGTCTCCTCAGCTTTCTTATCATTATGTAATAATTCCTTGCGCACTCAGACAACTTTATTTCTAAAATTACTTGACTTCTTTATGACACTCAGCAGAAATGGAGTAACTTTTGATACCTTTTGGACTTTTCAGCGAATATTACTTACGTGAAATAAATTGAGCAACCCAAATTCAATTTCTATTCTAAATACTAAAATGAGAACTGTATAACTTCAAGAATATCTACATTTTATTTTGCACAGCGTAATTATGATCCCATTTATATTAAATATTCTTTTCTACTCTCTTTTCTCTACTCCACTCTCTTGCTCTCTCCCACTTCCTCAACGCACCTAGTATGAGCTTTGATTATGAAAACAGGTAAGGTGAATGCTCCATTCTATCCATAAGAAAAGTCGAATTAATCTATATTTTTCTCCAACTTCGCCATCGCCATATTACTCAAGGACCTTTGAAACGTGGAGCTCCAAGATAGATGCTCGACACAATTATTGGAGCTACAACAACACAATTTCGGTGCAGTCGCGCATTAGGGATAAGTCCGGTAAGAAATTGCATAAGTTATACCCCAATCGACTTTCAAGCAATTCATTATCGATTCCAGATGATCCAATGCTGCTGGAAGTGCTTGCAGTGCCATTCCAAATGAACAACGAGACCATTTTGGATGGCAAGTGCCCACCCGGCTGGGCACTGGTGCACGACACGTGCTTCATCTATGTCGGTGCGCCGATGACCTTCCATGAGGCTCGCGACTTTTGCCGCTCGGAGAACTCAACGATGCCCTTCAAACGCACCGATAGCACCACCTTGTGGAAGTATCTGCAGAGCCAGATGCGGCATTTGAAGTATCCGGAGAAGGTCTGGATACAGGACTACAATCACATCGAGCGCTGCACGAGCTTCGTTTTTGGCTCGATCGAAGTGGAGGACTGCAACAAGGAGCGAGGCTTCATCTGTGAAATGGATCCAAGGGTAAGCTTGGAATCATTAAGTTATGCTCCTCTTATGTATACTTATATATATCCTCTCCATTTCGTAGGTCATCATCGATCCATTATCGTGGCGCGCGGACATTTTTGCCATAAGTATTATCTCGGCCTTTCTGCTGGCCATCATTCTGCTGATCCTGGTGGCCTTCTGCTGGTTCGCCAAGTCCAAGCATCGTCATGTGCAGCGCCTGCAGCGACGCAACAGCATTCGCCAGAGCCTGCGCAGCCTCAACAGCATCGATCCCCAAGGATCGCTGCGCCGTCGACCCAATTATGTATGATTTCTCGCTTGAGTTCACTTTACTTTCAGTTTTTTTTACGTTTTTCTTATTGGTTTTATTTGCTTTTTCTTTCCATCATCATTTTTATGTTTGCTGCTTTAGAACATGTCCAACAGCAATGGCACTTTGTCCAAGAGTCAGGACTACAAGCAGATGGTGGCCAATGGCTCCATCGACTCCATGGACAAGAGTGTGCTCAGCTCGGAGGCGGGCAGCTTTGAGGGCTATGACCAGAAGCCCCACTACAACGAGTATGTCAATCAGAATTCACTTCGTCCCGCCGCACAAGATCAACAGCAGCAGCAGCAGCAGCCTCACAAGGTGGCCACCATTTCGAAGGGCACCTCACATCGCGCTCGAGCAGCAGCTGCAGCAGCAGCCCTGGAGCCCGATGCCTTTGAGCTGAGCTATCGCAATGAGGGATTCCGCGACAACTCAACTTATGGCGGAGGCACGAGGGCGAACTCTATTAGCACCAGCGTCGCCGAGGACACGCCCATCATACATCAGACAGATGCGGAGACTGAGGAGTTGGGCTCGGATTATTATGGAAATGCCAGCACGTTGCCCTTACGCACAGATACGGGAGGCAGCAGCAGCGTGGTTGGGCGTCGTGGCCAACCGGGTCTGGCGTTCCTCAGTGAACTGAAGCAGAATCTGCCGGAATATCAGCAGCGTAGCTCGCACAGCAGCTTTATGCCGCAGCGCAGCAGCGGAGAGTCTCTGCCCTTTGACCAGAAACTCGATCAGTTCAACTACTCCACAGAGTCGTCGCTGTATCGACCAGCTCCAGCTGTGCCGCAGCAGCAAGCATCTCCGGCGGACATGCGACGTCCGGACTCTTATTATACTGCCGTGCGGAGCAGCAAGGCGCCCGCATCGCATTATCGCACGCCCAGGCCGCTGGCACAGCCGCCGGCTGCGCCCACAATGCACACGGCGCGTCCAAAGACTGTTTACCAAACTGCAACACCGGAAGTTCCGCGCACAGCACCCGTAGCCACGCCCACTGCCAATCCGTATCACCGCTCCAAGTCGGAGGCGCTGCTCGAGACGGATTTTGATAGCGAGGGAGGAGATGGTGGCCTTATGCCTCTCCACACCAACGGACGCAGTCACAGCCAACCCTTAGAGACGGCCATGTAATGGATCGAACCTCCCTCCCTCTCCCACCTGCCCCCTGTAACCCTTCATTCTATATTTAAAACTCAGTTTTAGTTTTTCATAAAATACTTTTAAATAGACGAGACGAGATTATTTTAGCCGACGAACGAGAGACGAACACCACACCTTGTTTTATGTAGAGAACTTAAAGCATTCCATTCCATCCATTAGTTATAAACATAATTCATAAACATAAAGCAAGCAACGATCGCGAAAGAAAAAGAAAAGCAAATCGAAAAAAAAAATAGTAATAAATTGTTGTATATAATTGATAATTCTAATAAATTTAAAAACAATTAATAAGACAATGCAAAAAAGAAATTAAATAAAATGTTAACATTAAATGCTTGCCTAAAAGTATTTAAAATTCAAATCTAACAGTTGCTAGCGCCATCTATTGAACCAAGCAAGTACCCAATTACAACTACCCAGCAGTGTAGCCATTTCTTATTTGCCATAAATGGCATCACCAATGAACTGAACGAAACATAGTGTAGCCCATTTCTACTGACTAAACGAAGCATTTACAATGTGTCTAAATTATTGCTATTTGATTTTATTTTAACATTTGCTGAAAGAAAATATAAATACGAACCATAAGCCAAATCTTCCTGACAGTTTTCAAGGCAACATTCGGTATTCATTCGCGCTACAACTGATTAATCTTACCGTTACCGTTTAAATATTCTGTAAAATCGTTCAATTTAATATTATGCTTTTTATTTGGCCCATTTCCCAGCATGCGGAATATGTCATACATCGGTAAACGAACAAATTTTTTTTGCAAATATTTAGTTAAGCCACGGAACGACCCATCAATAAATAAAACAAATTTGTATAGTTATAAGACCAAGAAATATGTCATTTCATATTAAAATTTAAAGGATTCAATGAAGCGAGACTTGATTCCCTTCTTTTTTTTTCTTTTGCTTACCATGTACCATTAAATGGTATTGCAATTTTACTCAGACCTTAATTTATATTTTTTACTTCAACTTGCTTCCCCACTAAAATGCTAAAATGGGTTCGTCGTTTTTGACCTTTTGGTTAATTTAACATACACCACTTAATAATCTTATGTCAAACCACATTTTGTTCAGTAGAATTGATCTTCAGAAGGCAAGAATTTAGCATAGACCAGATGGGAAAGTAGAAAAATACTCACTTTTCCGATTATAGTTAAGTTATTGAGTTGAAACTCTACACTAACTTGAAATTTTGATGCACTTCCTTAAAAATTAACAAGTTTAGCGATTAGGCTAGTTTTTGTGGCACGACTTCAGGCAGCGGACTTCATCAGCAACACTTGCTGAGGTGTTATAGCAGTGCACATTGGACACGGGACACAGCAGGGCACTTGGAATCTGAATCCGGCGAGCGAGGACAATTTTAACAAGTTCCGCAACAGCCGCCGCAGGAGCGAGCCAAGCCACCGCCTCCTGCACAGGTAGCAGCAGTGGCTGCACAACGCATCCGCTTGTTGTTGACGCCCATCGTCATGTTGGCGAAGCGCAGCGGGAACGAAGCGGGTCCACAGTTGGGGAACGGGAAGCACATGCATGCTGGCCGTCCCTGGCATGCCGCTCTGGGGCACTTGTCCTGCAGCCCATTACGCTTGATGCAGTCGCAGGATGTGTACAGGATGCTGCAACGCAGTTCACGGCTGCGACAGCCCCTCAGCTACAAAATAGAAACGGGGATTAAATTAGGAACTAAAAAGGATCAGGGACGATGATTAGTTACCGCAACTGGTCCGCAACATGGGTCACACATCTTTTTCTTTTCTACATAATGAAAACAAAAGTAGATAAAAATATTTTAATCACTACTATTTATTAACACACAGTTTTCACACTTACTTTATTTGTTAAATTTTTAGGGAAATTAAAAATTTTGCTTAAAATTTGAAAGCAAGTTGAAGTGAACGGTCCGAAATTCAGGAAACTAATGAATATTATTTAGAAGCCTCAGCCTCAGGCCGAAAATGTTTTGCTTCGATTTGAGCACATTTTCATATCCTAGTTTATGCATTTTCCAGGCCTTCTATGTTTTTATTCAAACACATAACATGTAATATTTTGCATTAGGATCGCAGAAACCGCTTTTATAAGTTGTGCAACAAATATCCGATATTCCCTATCCGGAAGCCAGTATTCCGTAAAATGTTTATGTGACACAAAATTTTTTTTATTAGATTCAAGAACATTTTAATGATTTTGTGACCAAAATTGTGTTAATAAATTCGATTTGAGTATAGATCTTGAGTCTAAGTAAAGGTACCATATATCAAAATAGCTTATGGTCAGACCTGCTCAGATTACTAATCCTTAATGTTTATCTAGTTGTATAAACCTGCTACTTTTCATAGTTATATTAATACTCAAAATATCTATGTATCAATCCACTTTAACCGTAAACATGAATAGAAATAAAGAATTTAATTGAGGTGATTTATTGCATATCGAAGGTACATAAAAGTCTAAAAAAATAGTAATACTGAAATTTTGAATTTATCAATTGTCTTAGCTCGCAGAAAAACTTGAGGTCCTGCTTCCAGTTCCTGAAAACTTGAAAACATTTTCGAAACATGGAAGCATTTTGCGTGAAAATCTCAATGCCCTCTGGGAATAGGTTAGTCTTCTAGTCGGCTTGAATGGATTTAGCGAAGCCACACTTTTATCTTCCTAAGCTCAACTTGCTTCCGAATTTGCTCCACACAAAGTTTCACAAGCACATTCGCCAAGACTGGAATTATTTGGAATTGTTTTCATGTTTTATATTTAACTCCGAGATTTGAAACGTCTCTTGACGAGTTGGTCCATTAAAAGCCACCTAAAGAAACCGATAAATAAGCAATTTAATATGCAAAATACAAGAGTTCAATAGCAACAATATTTGGATGGTGTGTTGTAGCAGTAAGCTTTGCATTATCTTTTCTTTTTAATAAGCAGCTTACATGGATAAGTTGGAGGGGTATTCCAACAATTCCAAACGCGTGGATCGGGTATGCCACCCTCGGGCAGAGGCGGACAGCAGACGCCTGGTGCTGGTGAGCACGGGATTGGCGAAGGTGCACCGCATGGCGGACTGTGAGGGCCACAGCAGGGCCAATGACTGGGACAACAACCTCCGCATGGACCACATCCGCTTCCGCATGGACCACATCCGCCTCCGCACATTTTTGAAACTTTGTTTGGAAAGGTAATTTTCTAGGAAAAATATTTATTTTGTTTATGGTTTTTTTTTCGAAATTTAGAAGCTAGTCGAAGCTGTGGGATCAAAAGGCAGAAAACTAATGAATAGTCTCTGAAAGCCTCTCAGCTTCGTATACCAAAATTCATGGCCTTCTCTATGAATTTTTAAAGACCAGCTAAGAAAGCCAATAATACAAAATAAATAAATGTGGTAACAGTCGCCGCGTTTACCGCTGCTATCAGCATGACTCCACCTTCAATGAATACCCAAATTACACTAAGTATGGACTAAGTACAGATTAAGGAGCTGCGAACTTCAGAATTTCGCTCATCGAGAGAATATCAATTTCAATTCTGCATGCATACTTTCTACACAAAATATTAACTTTTAATGCATTGTATATTTTATTATTAAAAAGGTCCCGTTTATACGTAAATATTATTTAATATTTGCTAACTAAATGGTTAATAGTTATTAACAAATTTTATTTCCAATATATAATAATATATATATTATAATTTTTACACAAAGTTGGCCATGAAATGGAAGTCCAAGTTTTTGTGTACGAGGTTCCACAGAGAAAATTCATTAGTTTTCAGTCTTTTGATCCTACAGCTTCGACTAGCTTCTAAATTTGGAAAAAAAAAACCATAAACAAATTAAATATTTTTCTTAGAAAATAACCTTTCCAAACAAAGTTTCAAAAATGTGCGGAGGCGGATGTGGTCCATGCGGAGGCGGATGTGGTCCATGCGGAGGTTGTTGTCCCAGTCATTGGCCCTGCTGTGGTCCGCACAGTCCGCCATGCGGTGCACCTTCGCCAATCCCGTGCTCACCAGCACCAGGCGTCTGTTGTCCGCCACTGCCCGAGGGTGGCATACCCGATCCACGGGTTTGGAATTGTTGGAATACCCCTCCAACCTATCCATGTAAATTGCCGCCCGCGTCCGATTTTCAGTTGTCCCAATCACCAAATAGAAAACTGTCAATTCTGGTTACTGTTCGTTTTTCACTCCGTTAATCATCCGTACACCGCATCGGCCGGAACTGAGTGTGCCACAGCATGGGTCAAAAATATGAATATTGTAGGTAGATTCTAATATAAAAACTCCTTTAAGGCTGCTGTTTTTGTCCCACCCGCTATTTAAAAAGGAGAGAAGATCAGGCACCCTGTGTTTGGTGTGCACCATGCAAAGCTCACTGCTACAACACACCGCCCAAATGTTGTTGCTAGCGAGTTCTCGCATTTTGCGTGGCACAATTTCTAAGAAAAATATCTGAAAGCACAATACGATTGCTGTAAGTAGTTACGATTGTCATCATATTAATTTGCTTATTTCGCGTCTTTTTAGGTGGCTTTTAATGGACCGGCTCGTCAAGAGTTTCAAAGCTCGGTGTTCTATATAAGACAAGGAACGAATTCCGAATAATTTAAGTCTTGACGAATGTGCTTGTAAAACTTTGGGTGGAGTAAATTCGGAAGCAAGTTGAACCTGGGGAGATAAAATGTATGGCAACACTAAAACTATTCAAGGCAACTAGAAGACTAACCTATTCCCAGAAGTCATTGAGATTTTACTGCCAAAAGCTTCCATGTTTCGAACATGTTTCCATGTTTCCTCGTACAGGAAGCAAGATCTCAAGTTCTTCTGCGAGCTTTAATAATTGATAAATTCAAAATTTTCAGTATTAATTTTAGACTAATTTTTAATGTAGTTTTGGCAAACTAAAAATATAAATCCCTTAAATTAATTTATTAAATTAAGTGGGAAGATGGGTGGATAAATATAAATTATTTTTATCAGTTACGCATGCTTACAGGAAAAGAAGATTCACATCTAGATAATTAGAATAACGCTAAGGGATATGAATCTTGGATTTTGAAATTAGTAAGATCACTGCTAGTAGTTGGAACCTCGGTGCAAGGCAAAATGGATTCGAACTATAAGTGAACTCTTGTTAAGCTTGTAAAATTTTACACAAGAAATTGAACTTATTACCACTAATCCATAAAAAAAATGCCAGTTGCTCAGGTGTGAGATCCACGGCATCGGGGACAATATGGAACAAAAAATAAAAACATACGAAAATATACTTTAATTAACATTAACATCGAAGGTAGTCCATGAAGTTCGTTCAAAGCTAGACCTACTCGGGACTCACAACAGGCTCACCCTACGATGGGTCCCGGGCCACAGGGACATAGCGGGAAACGAGGCGACTGAAAAGCAAGCAAGAAAGGGGGCAGGAAGGCCCCTAACAGAACCAGAACCGTATTGTGGCATAGGGAGGCACACTATACGACTGGAACTTAGAAGCGAGGAGAGGCCGAGACGGCAACAGAGTTGGTCGGAGGCAGTAGGACTCCGACAAGCCAGATGTCTTGTTCGATTTAAACAGATTATAACCATGGGAAATAACAGCATTAGGATACTTACCTGTCTTTGGACAGGACACTGTAGTCTAAGGAGTCACCTAACAAAATTGGGTATGTATAGTAGCGATCTGTGCAGGTTTTGTGAAAGAGAGGAGGAATCCTCGATGCACATCCTGGCAGAATCTGTCGCCTTAACGAGAAGAAGAAGCAGCATCCTAGGGGTGCATGTCTTGAATTGCCAAGACATAGAAGACCTCAACCCAACAAAGATCCTCACGTTCGTGCGGGAATTGGGGGGGAAGAGCTATAAGCTCAGAAGGGGGCACAATCGAGCAAATAGGTCTCGGTGCAGCTTCCCCAATAATAATAATAATAATATTTTAATTACCAAGTTCAACATTTGGTAACAAAATTGTTTCTTAATATTAAAAACAGTATTTTTCATGAAAAATTTACATAGCGATTAAGATGCTTATTTTTAGTGTTAAAAATCTGCATCCAGGCTTGAATTTGATATTCACTCAATGAGCGAAATGCAAAAACTCATAGCTCTTATCATGTCTGAGTATGTCTGAGTATAGTATAAACATGAAGCTGATAAGACCTTAGCCAGTGCATACATCTACTTAGTATAGTTTGGGTATTCGTCGCAGGCACTATCATGCTGAGAGTAGCGGTTATCGGAGCGGGTGTTAACGGTGTGGCGTGTGCAATCAAAATCTTGGAGCATTACCAAGACGAAAAGAAGACAAATGTGCAGGTGACAATTATATCTGATGAATTTACGCCCAACACAACCGGCGATGGATCAGCGGGACTGTGGGGCCCCTATTTGCTAGGTGGCACAGATGAGTCAAAAGTTCAGTAAGTTCTATATAACAAGTGTGACTTCAAGGGCACTAAATATATTTGATTCTTCCAGTAAATGGTCGAGGGATATGCATTTGTTTCTCGAGAAGATTTGGCTAAGTGAGGACGCTGGCGAGGCGGGCGTCTGCCTCATCCCCTGCGTCCGGTTGAGCACCGATCCCAATGCTAGCGTTGGCGAATTCTGGCGCGACATTGTCTACGGTGCCGTCGATCTCACAGCAGAACAACTGACTGCTTATAATAAAAACCGAGATATTAAATTTACGTAAGTGAAAATTATTGAGTAAACTGATTAAGAGTTAAACTGGTCTTATCACCCACACAGTTCGGGACTCTCATTTGTTACTTATACATCCGAGCCGGTCAAGCTGCTGCCCTATCTGACGAAGCGCTTTGTCCGTCGGGGTGGACGCATTGAACAGCAGAAAGTCACAGATCTGGAGACCTTTGTGAGAGATTCGCCCTACGATGTGATTGTTAATTGTACTGGATTGGGCTCCAGGCAACTGCTCAACGATGATAGCATGTACGCCGTTCGTGGTCAAGTTACTCGGATAAAGGCCAATTGGGTGTTTACCGCCATACTGGATGAAAGTGATGTTGGCAACTATATCATACCCAAGTTAGTGATAAATATGTAGAAAACCTTGTTATCCACTCTCACAAAGCTTCACCCAACAGTACCGAGTCCGTGGTGCTTGGCGGCACACACCAGGTGAAGGATTATAGCACCAAGGTCTGTGAGACGGATAAGCGTTTCATTATCGATGGTTGTCGCAGCTTGATGCCGGCTCTGGAGCACACTCAGCATCTATTCGATTGGGTTGGTCTGCGTCCGGGTCGCGACCAGCTGCGTCTGGAATCGGAGAGGCGTGGCAGGAAGTTACTCATTCACAACTATGGACATGGTGGCAGCGGTGTCACCTTGGCCTGGGGCTGTGCCGACGATGTTCTAAGCCTCTTGGTAGCTGCACAAATTAAATCCCATTTGTAGTTTCTACAGTAGATTTGTCAGTGCAAGTATTATCAGCTGAAATCAAGTACTGGCTGTCATAATACTAATTGCCCGAACATGCGCCAATACTCCACAAAAAAAATATATATATAAATAAATATAAACAGCACTTATCAAATTCTCTTTTTCGCAAGCTTGTTTTGGGTTCGTTTCCAGTTCACTCAATCTGTTTGATAAGGGAATTAGCTCTGAATTTTTGCAACTCTTTAGACGATCGTTGAATTCTCTTAGAAAATTTAATACACATAATTTAGCTATTATATTTAAGATTTATATAAGAAATGGGCATTTCACATTTCATTGGCTCTCACTAGGTCGTCCTCTCTCTCCTTTTGCTGCTTGGCCCTTAGAGATTCCTGGAAGGCCTCAAAACCAGGCCATAGCTGATAGTTCAATATCGGATTCAGATTCAGCACGTAAAGAATAGCAAACATTTCATCCAAGTCACGGAGGCAATCAAATGGTCGCTTATTGCCCGCAACCTTGTAAATGGAGTAGATCGATTTCCCGCATTCCTCATAGTCAGCCAACTCAACGGCATATTGCTCCTTGGCGGTGAGAGCGATGAAACAGACCCGGGGCATGTGCATATGCGCGGCAACCTCGCCGATTACATCAAACATGCACATTAGAAAGGACTCGTCCTCGAACAAAGAGCGTGGAAATCCCACTTCATGCACCATCAAGCAGTCAAAGTTATCCGCTTCTATACGCCGCTTGGTGGAATCCATTAGTGCTTTTTTCATTAGGATCAGCTCCTGAAAAAGACCCTTGGAAATTGTCAATGGTAAAAAGGTCCTGTAAAATGATATTTTAGTGTGTTTATTTACTTGGAAATGCTTCCAAATCTCTTACCAGGAGTGCCATTCTCCGGTCATCCATTCAAGTAGGGCAACAGCTATGATCTCGGTCTCAGTCTCGTCCAGAATCATAACGGAGCATTCGTTGCGTAAAATGTGCTTACAATAGTCCGTATATATTGACTTCATTTCATCCAAATCATGTAGACCCACTCCCTCATATACAATGTTTTGCAGAAATGAGTTCTCCCACATAAATTCAATTACGATATTATAGTTTCTATTGGCAAATGCAGATATAAAACTGTTAGTTAATAGAGGTATTAAGTATTTTCATTGGGTTTACTTGCTTGAAGTGGATGTCCGTTATGGGCATGCCATCCCACACATCCCATTTGATGTCATATTGCAAAGGTCGTACATCAGCCATGGTATCTAATTCACTTGTAAATTTGCCTCACAAAAGAAATTTCGTTGAGATACTAAAAATTGTATATACTTTTACATGTGTTAGACTACATTAAGTATTAAGGTTTCTGACTTGAAACACCCATACACAAAAATATTAGTCGATTTTAGAGAACACTATTTTAAATTAAATAATGTCATTATTATACTTATTTCTAAATAAAAAAAAAAGCACATCATTATTTAATATCTTTACATTTCATATCACATTAACATAATATCACTAAACATACAATAAAAGTCTGATCGTTCAAATTGAATAATAAATGCTGAGTTAATTCAAAAAACAAAATACTCTTCTTCATATATAGTTGCTGGAACACGCTTGCAATTTATATTCAGAGGTTTTTACATAGTTGGCATATCATTTGTTTTTATGAGCTGAAATGTTTCATTCCCATAATTGTGTGGGCTCGTCGCAATAACGCTAAATGTTAATGTGCATTAAAAAATGCAAATGATTCATGTGCGTGGAATCCGGTGGTGCGATCCTTTTGGTAAAATGGCATAATTAAATAGGTATACAAGCGATAACAATCAAATGCAATAGGTGTAAATTTAATTTGACTAATGTCTCAATTTGAATAAATATCCAAGTAAAAAAAAAAAAACAGGAAAAACAAATGCTGCAAAGGTATGTTAATAATAATGGCAGAATCGCATCCATGTCCATGACGTAAATCCACCCTAAACAACGAGTCGTCTCTGAATACGCATTGAACTTCGAAAAATTGTAACACGTCTTCCTACACACCTTACGGATAGACTTTCCCACCCCCCTTCGAGATATATTTTAAAATTCAAGACACTGAGGGTATCATTGGCGGTGGCAACAACAACCAATTGGCAACTGGCACTTGGGATAACTGAATTTGGGCTATGTCAAAGCAAACGCCATTCGACGCATTTTTAAATGTTTCCCAATGCAGACAGACACACAACATCCATATCCATATCAGCCCGTCACTTGGATATTTAAATACAGGCGACACTTTTAATGGCAAAGTGTCAGTTGGGTGAAAAGCTTCGCATTCCCATTCGGAGAGGGCATTTCCATTCCGAACACGTAACGGTCTTGTCTCGTGCCTGTTGATAAATTGAATATTGAAAAGAAATAATTTAATTTTGATATTTGAGTTGGTCATGTAAGAGATCTTTTCAGGAATTCGATCAATTTGCTCGTTAGCTCCAAGCTGCAAAATTTGTATAGCTGTAATCCTATTCCAATTGTAACTTGACCAAAACTTGAAAGAGAGACTATCAACGAGACTTGAGATTAATGCTGCGACCTGAAAAACATGTTTGTTACTTTCCTTCCGAAGGAAGTTTAAATTATATACTTATATTTTTATTGTTCAAGAATGTATCATTTTAGTCCGGAATATTAACTAAAAATGCATAAAAATGTTGTGGCTTATTGCGAATTATTTCATGTAATGGTTTAGAGTGTGAGTTTATGACGGGCATAAAAACGTCTCATTTGGGACTCATTTAATCCGCCAAATTGTTTACACGCGCAACGTTCTAGCTGAATCTGCCCCCTGTCCCACCTGTCCTCTGTCCTATGTCCTCTCCTGCTTCCTATTGCCTGTCCAAAAGTGTTGTCACAAATCCAGCAGTAACTCAACCCTAACCGAATCGGACCGCAGTCTGTGAAAGAATCGCGAATTTGAATTCATTCGAAAATCGTTTAACGGTCGTTGGCTGTTTTTCAGTTTTCAGTGACACCTGCGCATTCCCAATGCCTCCAAAGGTGCTGCCAACCACATAATGGAGGATATTGTCACACCGCCCAACCATACGACCATACCCCTTCCTCTGTACCGCCCATGACTTGCAAACGCGTTTTCTCGACGTGGTTTTATTTAAAATCGAAAATGCGCAAATACGAAACGCAAACTGAAATGCAAAACGGAAACGTCTCTCGATTGTATTGGCTGTGCCACATACTGTGGCCTGTCTGCCTGGACCTGAATTGGGATTGGAAATGGATGCACTTGCCGCTCGCCGCAAGGTGTAGCTGCCATGTGTACCCCCGTGTGTGTGTGTGTGTGTGTGTCGCGTGGCAAACAAATAAACAAAGGGTTCAACAAAAGCAGCGGCGCAAAGTAATTCAAAACAAGCGCGTTATTGAAATGTTTGAGCGAAATGCAAAAGGATCTCGGATTATCCATTCATCCATCTCGCTCACCCACCATTTGCCGGCCTTGTTATTGTTTGCAGCGCAAGGAACCTCATTGTTTGTTGATTTACTCTTAAATGCCGAATTATCCCCGTACCAAGGGGTGCAACGAGTACTTTCGAGGTAAATTGTTAAAGTTCTTAACAAGGTTTGAGAAACGAGATATTAACTGCAGGAGAGAAAGTATATTTGAAAGGTTTGTCAGTATTTATCAGTTGTTATTTAATTTCGTTTAAATTGGTGAAACAAAAATATTAAAGTATACTTTTGGGCTTATTGCAGATAATCAACTTCCAATAAATGTGTATGTCATAAGGCGCTCCTGATTTGTGCCGACTGTTTATATTTACTATTATGACAATTCTTAAAACTCACTTTTAAACGAGTTATAGTTTCTAGTCCTGCCCGATTCATCCTGGAATATCACTGTAAATTTGATTAACGATTCGTGGATCCACTAACCACTTATATATCCTGATTATTTCAGCTGATTCCATGTCTTTCCACACTGTTTAAATAGGGATACTGATTTATTAGATCTATTCATGTTCATGTTATCTATTCATGTTAAATTCCAAATTACTGCAGTCAACTTCTTTTATTTTCAGCTGTGTCTCAAGATATATATAGAAATAACAAAAACAATGCTAATTTGCCTAAATGATGAGCTTACAAAAGACAACTCCCTAAAAACATTGGGTAGGTTAAAAACCGCTTTTGTTCGCTTAAGCGGCGAGTTCGGTTTGTATTTTGTAGACAAACATTTATGACTCCCATCGCATTGCCCCAAATACCCATTTCATAAGATAATTGTGCTTATAAAAAGAAATTAAACTTCAATTTTGTGCGCCGACTCGTTGGGAGTGTGTCGTGTGGTTGTCTGGTGGCTTGTGCGTTTTGTGAGCCAACAGGAGGCTGCCACAATACGCTAGACAACTCCTCGAGTCCCAGTTCCTTGGATTGAGATCTCCGCATGCTTGTTAAGTTGAAGTCTGGGAATGGGATGGGGGCGTGGAGGGGCGAGCGTTGAGCAACTTTCGTTTCGGGTAAATGAAGTTAGCTTGTTGCGACTTATGCAAAAGTTTTCAATTGCCTTTTATTGTTGTTGTTTTCGTTTATTTTTATTGCCGCTGCTCGCGCTTGTTGGCAACCAATTCAGGAACTCAGCAACTCGACAACTCAAGTGAAATGCAAATTTATTCAAAATGTTAAACGGCTAAAGTTGCCACCGCTGTCAGAAAGTTGTCTGGATTAAGGTCTATGGCAATAATTAAATACCATTTTTCGCATTTATATTTGCATCCCGTTGAATAATTGCCTCCATTTCACCTTCTAATTAGTTTTATATTCAATATACTCGTAAACATGTTGAGTCTTACGGAAAATTTAAAGTTAGCATCTGTATTAAAAACGATACGCATATTGTTTAATTCATATTGTATTTATAATTGTAACTGGGCACAATTAGTGTCAAAAGGTAAGTTAATAATTTCTAATAATTTAAGTAAAGTCAGTTAAATAACTACAATTTGTGATTCCATTTTAAATAGTGAAATCTAAGAAGCAGAAAAGCCATTTAGGTAACATTTTTTACTATTATCTGACTAGTAAGCATTTTAAGTCAACTTCTTTGACATTTCGACTGCATGTGGAATCGATAATTATGTAGAGATGTCTACATGGATAAGAGAAACAGTTCCGCTCATTAGGGACACGCGATATTCGAATAAAAACGAAATGGCAAATCAAATACTCGAATGGAACAAAAACAGGCGCTGGGCGCTGACGAGGCGAAAATCAGTTACAACTATGGACAGTTATCTCAGCGGGTCATCTCTTCACGAAAGGACAATTATGAGTGGACATGCTAATTTGTGCGTGGCCAGACAGGACGACAGGCACGCGCCAAAGCAGAATTCCTCAATATTTGTTGAGGGAACGTGATTTGGCGCATTTGCCACAGCAAGGACATGCCAAGGACCGCACCCAACAAGCTTTAAGACAGAGCCGCTCCCTGTCAACGAATCCTTTCACAACAACCCACACACACACACACACATACACACACATACGCACTCGATTGCGTTGCCCAAAAGAATGCAAAATGTTTTGTTGACGCTGCACAAACAGGCGCTTCTAAACTGAACAAGGGGGACTTGAAGCGTAACCGCTGCGCACGCAAAGGGTTAATTAATTAAATGCGCTTTAGCTGCTTTGATATACGTACGAACTGCCAGCTCAGGTGACCCTTACTGCACAAGTATACAGCCTTACAATATACACATACATATCTGAACAGAGAACACGAACTCTGCCAGACTCCGCCCCGGATAAGGCCACACCCTAAATGCGGTGGCTCATGCCACCAGCGACGCAGCCACCAACGTCTTTGGCAAACGCTCGTTGCGTCTTTGATGTAAGCTTCGTAAGGACCCAAGGAAGTGCCCCGAGCTGTCGTTTTGTAATTTCCAGCCACAAATTCCGACTTTTGCCACAAACGAACAAAGTTAAAAAGTGTTTAGTTTAACGCTTCAATTGCCTTTAAGTTGAGTACTTACTTATTCATATACGTCTTCTACTTGTATCTATTTATAGAGGCAATATTCAAACATTGCACCCTGGGTGTGTCTATGTCGTGTATTTTGTGCCCTATAATTTTAGCATAGCATCGAATTAAATGTGGAATAACTATGAAAGACTTTAGGAATTTTATTATATTAATCGAAAATGCATATAAGACTATTTGGAATATTATTCGATATTATATGATAAGGAAAATGTACATTAATGATTTAGATCCGTGGGTATGAGTAATTAGCTGTGAAAACAACTTTGTGGGTCTTACTACAGGATATTTCCCAGCAGATCAAACAGTGAATATAATTGAAAATGAAATAAATAATGTAAAAAGTCGATGTTTTGCATGTGATGTCAATTCAAAGCACTCGACAGTTAATTAGAAGCTCATTTTCAATTAATCAAAACGCGTGAGGAAGCGCCAATAACATCAGTTACAACAGTTAACGGCATCGCGTGTCAACCCAAACAAAAGAAAAAACTGTTGCTAAAGATGCATGCTAAGACGAGAACAACGCACACACACAGTGCGACCGACTTGCCACACCCAGTTGCGGCAATGTCAACGCCAATTGATTGCCACAGGACATTAATAATGTAGGAGGATCGTTGAGCGGTTGATTTCAATTGGAGTCGAATGTGGCGCATCTCATTTTATTCGTGTTAGCTGCTCACTAAATTATTCGAGACTTGCTGCCAAATTGTTTGGGGACAGCAAGTGGAACATCAACAGCCTATCCACTTGCCATTAACTGCCACTGCCACTGCCACTGCCACAGGTAGCTGCCACTGCCAACTGCTGCACGGCACACCTATAAACATTAACTTGTCAATAAAGGTAATTCATTATGTCGCTCTCGAATGCCTCCAGGGAACGGCTTCGTGGCTAAAACAAATTGTCTGCCCGTTAAGCCAAAAGCCGCAGTACCTGCACCCCTACCCGTATCCGCATCCCTGCTAACAGCTTTTGCCCGCATCTGATACAGATGTATCTGTATCTTTTTAGCTGCCTCGCATTTGACATTCACACTCAAGATTGGATGCCGCTGCCAGCTTCTCCATCGATGAACAATAAAATATTCCTCTGATGGGCAATAAAAAGCATATTGCTTATCGTTTGGCCCTGCGGACAAAAACGCGAACATTTCTGCGACGATTTAGTATAATTTAAGGGATATTCCATTGGATAAAAGATGGAAGATGGAAGATGGAGTTGTATTCATTTCGCTGGATAGCCCAACTCTTTGAGCAATCAACTCTTTTTTTGTTATTGCGTATTTGTGGAAGACTCAATAAAGCTATTTTGAAACTTTTGATTAAACAATTTTTGCCTGAGATATATGTAGTTGTAGATCTGGAAGTCATCACAATTAAGTTAATCATGTTGCAGTTTGTAGAGTTTATTATGATAAATGGGAAAAGAGTAATACGACAACTAGCATCTTAGCGCACTTTATAATTTGAGTAATTAAATACTACACTGTCTAATTTAAGCAATTAAACGCAACTCTGCTTATAGGTAAAGGATTTTAGAAATACATAATATTAATTATAATACCTGTATTTTTGTATATACTTCCAAACGCAAATGATTTTCCAATATAGAAATAATCCATATAAATATAAATATAATAAAAAATGCTGGGTAAAACTAAAACTATTCAAAAGTTTGGTAGTCGTCGCTGAATCAATTGCAATCCTTTTAGAAATACGATACCCCTGATATAAATTGCAAATAGATACACGGACAAATATCCATTTATTGAGTATCTTGTATCCACTATATATATATATACAATGTCTGTGTAGCTGTTTACCTGCGGTGGCCAATGCGGTGACCAAAAACACAAACACGAACACAAACATGGACATGTTGTCGATGTGGTTGCTGTTGCAGTTCCTGTTGCTGTTGTTGTTGTGGCTCGCTACTCGCGTGACACGTCAGATCAATTTTTCGAAATATATTTTCTATGAAATTTATTTGCCTGTCATTAGAGTTTGGCAAAACGTGCTTTGGTCGCATTTGCAAGTGCTCCACTGGGGGCAATGGCTAAAACAGCAGCCGCTGTTGCCAGCGAAGTCAGAATCGGAGTCGGTGCTGGAGTCGGAGCCAACGGGGCAAGCAATTGCCTCGTAGTCGTCGCAGCGCTGACAATCTATACGTGAGCGAGAATAAGCTCCAACAAAGTGGCAAAAAAAAAAAAAAAAAAAATGTTTGTATCTGACGGATACGTGTAGAGCGCACAGCGCACGTGTGTTTTATGAAAATTGCGTTTCAATTGACAAAAAAAGGCGCGAGAGGACATCGAGAGGGAGTGCAGCGACAGCATAAAATATGGCAATTTATGGCGACGCTGCGCTGAAACTCTTTCGAGCTTTATGTGCCTCAATCTACCCATGAATATTACGCTGATGAAATTGTTTCCATTTCGACAATTTTCGTTAACCCAACGGACATCGCGCATGACGACGCGTGTCGACGGGTGGTCCTCGGTTCGAGTTTTGGCTTTGGCAGTCAGGATATTTATTATTTTATTAGCGGCGTGTGTTCACTCATTTCAGTTCCAAAAGAGTTCCTCTGCTTTCCTTTCGCTGGGTGTGGCGCAATTTTTACGGCCACTCTCGCTTAACCCTTCCGCCTGTCTATTTTGGCCAAAAACTCTGTGGCCAGGCTGTTATGATAATTAAGTAATGGCTCCGTCCACACAGCCACATGTCCAACTTCATATTCCATGTCCTTGCCGGCCGCTTGGCTCGTCCTTAAGTCCTACCCACTCGAGCGTCACTCTTTATGCAAACGGGATTCACATTCACGGCACTTGGACTCGGACTCGGACTCGGACTCGGACTTGGACTGGGGCCTGACTACGGCTTTCAAGCCTTTCCTGTCTGTCCTATCTATCTGACAGACTGCCTGCCTGTTTGTTTGTTTGTTTGTTTGTTGGCTTGTTTGCTTCTCGTGTTGGTTTTCAAATTGAGTTAGCACTGTTTTTGTTGGTGTTTTTCTTGTTGTTGTTTGCCTTTTTGTTGCTGCTATTGTTGGCATGAATAATTACTCGAAAAATCGTAACTCTGTTGCACATGCATAATGCATGTCTTGAGTCAACACTCATTCTCGCATTCAATACTAGAAATAGTTCAAGGATTCAATTTTATTACGTTACTTGTGTGTTTTTTCTTGCATTACCTCGTTTAAAGATGGTCAACATACTTCCGAGATATGAAATCAACTTAATCTATTCATTTTATCTAAACTATTCTTTCTAAATTGTTTGAATTATTTATAATCAAGTGTATTCTTGACTTTCCCTTAATATTGAAGAACAGATCATCATTCTTTATCTTTCATGCATATAGTTTTGTCGATTCTTCAATTTTGAAACTCACAACACAATTCATGCTGCGGCTAAATTAAAATACAATTTTAATTCTAATTTAATCTTATATCTAAATCTAATAAATATTTTATTCAAATTGCAACAAAATGCATTTGAAGAAGTGCATAATTATATTTTTACGAGAGCTGTGCTGGTTGAAATATATAAAATAAACGTGGTTAAAGCAGCATTGCTTATTAGTGCCATGAAGAGCACTGATTCACCAATCAAATATTTTGACAGATGAACTGTCATTTCTTTCATTCCCCAAAACATACCTGTTCACATCTCTAGTTTCTGAACAGCTCATCACTATATTATTTGCAGAACAATTAAATAAGCCAGAAAAGCAACATGGCCAAAAGACAATTGCCGCTGCCAGAAATGAACGATGATAAGCATCGGCGCAAACAGTTTAAAGGGCATTTGGACAGCAACCGACTGCAACCGCCTAAATTCAAAATGAATCGCAGCCACTCGCATATATTAGGCAGCAAGATCAACTCCCAAATGGCGCATGCCATTTCGTTTTGCAGGGGAGCCGAGTTAAATGCCGACACGTCAATGTCCTGCAATAAGAGCTATTTTGAGCAGTGTTTCGAGCGTTTGGATAAGTTGGGCGAGGGCTCATTTGGTGAGGTGTTCCAAGTACGAGATCGTTCCGACAGCCGGCTGTATGCGGTCAAAATCTCCAAGCAATTGTGTCGCAGCGAACATGATCGCGCAGAGAGATTGGAGGAGGTGCGTCGCTACGAAGAGTTATCCGGCCATCAGAATTGCGTACGTTTCATACGCGCCTGGGAGCAAAACTGTCGTCTGTTCGTGCAAATGGAACTGTGCCGCGAGAGCTTGCTGCAGTATTTGTCCCGTTGCCGACAGATTCCCGAGAAGCGTATCTGGCACATATTGTTGGATTTGCTGCGCGGCTTAAAGTCCCTACACGATCGTAATCTCATACATTTGGACATTAAGTTGGATAATGTGCTCATCGGTGCCGACGAGAAATGGAAGCTGTCGGACTTTGGTCTGGTCATCGATTTGGACAAGGTGGAAAGTGATCAGGCCACCGAGGGCGACTCGCGTTACATGGCACCCGAAATACTCCAGGGTCAATTCACCAAGGCCGCCGACATCTTCAGCCTGGGCATCGCCATCCTTGAGCTGGCCTGCTACATGGACTTGCCATCGAATGGCCCGCTCTGGCATGAGCTGCGCAATGGTAAGCTGCCCGATGAGTTTATAAACACACTTTCTGTGGAGCTACAACAGGTCATCAAGTGCATGATGACACCAGATCCCCAACAGCGTCCCACTGCAGAGCAGCTGCTAGCGGATCCCGTGCTGACGAGAATGCAAAATGCAGTGAATAATAATGCGGCCAATGGAGCGCCATCATCGCCATCATCGCCATCACTGCCATCATCGCCATCCGCAAGCCCTGCTGGTACACCGCGTGTGGAACTTCAATTGGCTACCTCAACGCCCATTGGGAATCGCAATTGTTATGCCTCCGATTTTCTATCGGGGGCCTTGCATCTGTCGCCACAGTGCCCACCAACAGCCTCTCGACGAATAAATTGGATGAAGTCCACGCCACATCCAAAAATTTTATTCCAAGAAATCGTTAGCGATTCGTAGAGTAACATTTTGGTTGGGCGACGAACAGGAGACGCAACGCAAGGAATAAATATATACATAAATATGGTAATATATATATATAAAAGAAACCTCATACATATGGCAACAATCTAAACATCGTTAAATATTTAGAGTCCAGTTGTGGAGCTTCATGAATATAATGTATATTTAAAAATTTATATTTTTGGTAATTAGAACGGTTCTTTAGAAGAAACTTGTTTTTACAACGTAATCCGAATTGTAAAAGATAATATACGAAATGCGATTTGAAAAAACCGCAAAATTATAAAAACATCGTAAATTTATCCAATTTAATTGCAATAAAATAAAAATCAACTGAACGAACAAGTTTATATTTTGAATAGTGAATAGTTTATTACCAATTTCTACAGTATAGTATATATAATGGTGAATGGGTTCTTGGCAAATGATTTGTTAAAAGATTTCATTTATGGTTTTATGCTCACATGCCACTTAACAACTACCAACAATCGCAGATAAAAAACGTGGTCCGATAAATGCCCCCAAAATCAAATAAAGTCATTGCGCAAATGCCCGTCAGGTGACAATATTTGCCGTGGACTCTGGACAGGTTCCATTGGATACAATAAGTTGGGTTTTTGGTAGATAATGGTGGTCAATCGGTGTTATCTGCTTAACTGAACAGTCATCGAAGGCTGGCCCCAATTTGAACGTGACGATTGGTAAACCGTTTCTGCTTTCGTTTTATTTTTGAGGGCAAAAGTTCAGTTTGCGGCATGGAACACAAAAGACCTTAGTGCCACCTAATTGCGCACTAAATTAGCTTCCAAAACAGAAAAACAAAATAAAAGAATTATAATATGAAATGAGCCCAATGAATGAAGCCAAATACGCTCAAACATGAAATGTACCGCCAATCAAAAAGGCGCACATAAAAATTACAAACTAAATTGCCGAAAAAGAAACGAATTGAAGAAATGAATAAATAAATGGACTACTCAACTGGTTGACTGGCTTTACGAGTCATTTAAATTGCTGCCGATGCTTGCTGCTGCTGCTGCTGCTGCTACTGCTACTGCCACTGCCACTGCTGACTTTGGGCACCGCCTCTTGTGTCAAAACTGCGTCTGCTGATTTCAAATCGAGCAACCGAAGCAAAACAATTGAAATCCCACTCAATGAGAATTATGATTAACTGGGCACCAAAAAATGCGCTAAATATCAACAGTAATTATCAGGCGAGCTCCTTTTCAAATGGGTTGTACAAGAAGTTATAATTTCATATAATATCAAGCAATTGCAATTTAAAAATCAAATTATTTATTTCTTTTACACTGAACTTATCTTAATTATTAATTATGGTTTAGCCTCTAGACATGTAATGTCCTTAAGCGACTCTTTTTCAAACCTTAATCTAAAATGATATTCCATAAAGACCCCTTCAGAGTCGTATCTAAATTATTTTCTGCTATAACTTTGTCAAAACAGATTTTCTAAAGCTTTGCATTTTGTACGTATCTTGTTTTATTGAAAACACGTAAACTTCTTCAATACATTACAATAAATACACTTTCTTGCAAATCTTATGTTTCTATCACAACTTCAAAAAACACGTATTGTGTGAGATTGAAAGATTAAAAGTCCTTAACTCTCGAACTCACCTCGTTTTATAGAATTTTGAATGCGGTTTCACTTTGGTTTCAATGCCGACCTCATCATCCATTTATCCATATTGACGTTCAATGGCACCCACACTTTAACTTTAACATCGCGGGACTGTGGTCATTTTGGTGGGGATAGGACCATCCCTTCAAAGCTTCAAAGCGCGCAATGTTATTGTGAATACATTCGGGGCTGGCTGGCGATCAATTTAAATTAAACAGAAGATTTTGTTTTAATTAAAAATCTTCAAATACGCTTAATGACAATTAATTGGTCAACATCATCGGTACTCGATCGCATCGAAGGAGCCAAAGGGGGATTCCAGTCGTCTCCTATTTTTCCACTTTCCGCTGCCACAATTTACACTTTACAGGCGACTCTGGAGATTGCAGCGTCATTCCGACTGAATGATCGTGGTGCCATATGGCCACCAGTCACGCAACCACCATAAAGCGCACCACTCGCTCAGTTGCAACTGCCTCATGCCTCATGCCTGATGAGGTTATTGTGGGCATGTCGGGAGCTTCATTTCAAAACGGCTCTTTCAATTGAAACAAATCAAACTGAAAAGTGACGACACACCCACGCAACGCCTTCGATTCTATTATGCCTCGTCAGGCCGAATCAATGATCCAACATAGTTGTACATCTATGTGAAAATCACTCGATCCATCAATGTGTACAGCAAAAGATTGTTTCTTTCTGAAAAAAAAAGCATACGCATACACATTGGAAATGAAAAGCATAGCAAAACATCTATATAATTCAATATATAATTCATCAGCTTACTTTATTTACTTATCCCACTTGAGGATGGTTCCAAACTGAACCGATTTTCGACAGCAATGAGTTTTTAATTATTCTTTGACCTCTGGACTAATACTATCCTTAAGCGGCTACTTAAGCATTCAAAAATTATTTCCCATATTGTCACGTTTCTAAATTATTTACTGCTATAAGTTTAATAAAAAAAATCTTTCTCTTTTTTTTTTGATTTCACATATATAATTAACCTTTAAGCTTATCCAAACATTTAAAAGCAAGGAAGTTGTATTCTTTTGTCATATTTAAAAATGATCTAGCAAGTACTTGGTCCAATTATTTTAAGTAAAAGTATATGCGAGGGATACATTTCATTTCAACTTCTGCCCCGAATTAATTATTGTCTACTTTAAAAGTTGTTCTTATCTACTAGTTCAACGCATGTGGTATGCATATAAGATCTTTAATTGACCTATTATAACACATTTTTGCAGTTTGTATAAATGCCAGATGATACACATGTTTGTATTTCCCTCAGGTATTTAAGAGTAGGGTAAACATTACTAACCTCGTTACTTAACCGCAACAGCTTATTATTAAGTTTACGACTTGCAAGCATACAACAGCAACAATGACAGCCCATTGGGCGTGAATGCTAATGATGGCCAGCAAAAGTGACGTTAATAACTAGTTAGGGTTAGTCAGGGTAAGGGGTAGATACTGAACTAAATAATCTCTGAACTTTACAATGAAGAAGACAGTAGAAAATGGACTTGTTGGCCAGCTGGCAGTCCCAAAAGGCAACACAACTGATGGACTGCTGATGACATAATATGCAAATAATGCAAACACATACAGCTAACACACACACATACAGGTATCTATCTATCTACACACACACACACACACAGGCATTTAGAGGTGCATAAAATAGTTTTTAGCTTGATTTCTTCAGGGAATTTCTCTGCATGCCAGCTGACAAAATGAACGACTCCAACACAAAGTGTGGTATTTTTGTGTGTGTGTGTTGCAGCTCGTTTGTCTTTTGGCAGTTGGACTTGGTAATTTAGTTAATTACTTTAACATGTAAGTGGAACCCGCTCAAAAGGTGCGGAGCCGAAGTCGCTGCGTGGGCGTCCTTCTAATCGCCACCTTCTGACATCTGAATATGTCAGCGGGTTGCGCGTATTAGGTGCCAGTTTTTGCATAACACAACGCGTTCTTGCGCGTTCGCTGTAATTAAAATAATTACCCCTTCCGATTAACCCAGTTTCGCAAGGCAAACAGCCAGCTCGATCCCCTCCTGCTATCCGCTTGCTCAATTTGTTGCATTTGGTCGTCGTCCATTAGCCCGCATTGTCTTCAGTCACAGTTTCCACCAGTGGTTGCGTGCCTCATTGCCTACCCCAATCCTTATCCCCCTCTGAACGGTCGCAGCATTGTTATTATTTTGTCACATGTGAACTGAGGCGTAAGCGAAGCGATTACAAAAAAGGGTGCACAGCAGCGGCAGCAACAGCAGCAGCAGGCGAGGCAGTGGCCAGGACTCCTGGCATCGTTTAGGATACAGTACGATGAAGGGGCAGGAAGGGGTGGAGGCATCATTCAATTCTGTTTGCATACATATGTAGCTAAAATACTGCTTGCGGCGCTGATTGTTCCTTTTGTGTTGAGCCGCTGAAATCGAGACTTACCCTTTGATCCCATTGGTACCGCCCCACACCCCCACCATCTATAAAAACCTCTCCTTTTGTGGTGCCCGATCGAACATTATCCCATAATTATAGGGCTTCCGTATGTTGTGGGCATTTGGCTTTTGGGCGCACGTGCGCCTTCTGTTCTCCATCCTTGTTGATCCAATATTTATGCAACAATTTAACCGCAAAATTTATTCATGATTTTTTCAAATTGTTTTAAAGCTTTTCCGAACCCGAAACCCCTTCTGTTCATGGTGAACGGCGTCATATGTCGTTATGTTGTGGGCAATTTTCAGATTAGCCGATTTATATTTACAGTAAACGGCTTAAATGCTGCAAGCCCTGGAAATTGGAGAGCGAATAAGCTTAAATATGTAAAGGAAATGGAAGACAACATAATAAATGCAGTTCTCAGTTATTACTTATAATGTTACATTTGATTTGTTTAGTGGCATCTAAAGACCAGTATTCCAAGTCGAAGAAAAACGATTTTCTCCCATAGCCTCGAGCTCCATTTATTTATAGCTTCTTTCATTGAAATTCCTTTAAATGTGTTTTATTTTTTTAAATTTGATTAGAATACATCTAACGTAAAGTTTGATATCGTCTTGATCAAGAATATAAAGTACATTACGCGGTTTCAAATGCGTCCATTAATGTATCAGACATTCCATGACAAATTTAGAATACCCTCGGCATGGGTATAAAAAGCGCTCCAAATGACTCCACAAGTTGTAAATTGTGTGCTCAATTGGCAGGGCGATATCACTATTTGCTCGGAAATATACAGTGCAGAAAAAATAAAACAGTTAAAAACAATTAAAAATTTGAAATCATGCAAAAGTTCGAAAATGTCAAACTCCGAAGCGTGAGAAATATTTTTGCAGTGAATCAAAACCAGAGAAGGAGAAGATATTTTTACAATTAAAAATGCAGTTAAAGTTGGAATTGTGGGAAGCAACAAAACGATAATACACTGAGCAAAATTTGTCACGCATTATTGGTAAAAATACTATAAACTCTTGAAGATAAATACAACAATTACTTATTGAATAGTATCTGAAGAAGGATACGAAGAAAACTTTAAGCAATCTTTTAAAATACGATGTAGATCCAGGTTTTTTTTTAATTATTATTTCATTTTAATTTTATTTCATGATTTAACTTCAACAATAATTTAATTCGGGCAACATTATATTATTGTTGTTAAATAAAGATACAAAAGCTA